AAATTACATAGAAGCACACAGTTTGATCAAAAATCTGAACCAAGTATCTCCTGTATTTAGCAGTATCATATACATATACCATGCCTACCACAATATACACAAATTGTACCCTGAAAATCTGTTTAGAAAGTCATAGAAGTCAGAGTTTTTAGAAACTCTTTCTAAGTGGAAATTATGAATTCTTCAAATTAATTTTTTCACACTATAGACAATTTAGGTCCTGGTCACGAATGCAGTATTAGTCAGTCAACGTAAGCCAAGCCAGAAGGTCAAAGGGACAAACATAGAAAATTTGTGTATCACTATAAATGTTACATCTAGCATCAGACAATTGTTTGTATTTTTTCATACTCAAGTATTTGTCCCTATTAAATAAACATGACATAAATAAAAACCAGCTAAGACCAGACTGGCTGGCCTCCAGCAAAACCAGCATATGTTGGGTTTTGGATGCTGGTATGCTGGTCAGCAGCAATGAAAGTTAATATGCTGGTCACCACAAAAACAGTGTATGTTTTTTTTTTTGGATGCTGGTATACCAGCTAAACCAGCACCAGACCAGCATAAACCAGCTTAGACTGGAAATTCATGAAATTCATGCTAGTCTTTTGTGTTTTTTTCAGCAGGGAAGGTAGCGAGCTTGGTAACTAACTAATGTTACCCTGGTTTGCCTGAGTATCTCAGAGGCCAGAGCCCACTTTGTTTGCTTCAAATCAATGTTAGCTACTTTGCTACATCAGCTGTTAATGTCCAGATTAGAACTAAATCTGGATAAACCCTAAATTAGCACTGCAGAGAAATATAGCATTTATTTCTTTAGTGTTAAAAATTCTGTAAAAAATGCAGATATTTTAGTAATTCTCTACCAATTTGAGGGTTTTTCCTTTTACAGTATATCGATGTCCTTTAAACTTTGAAATGTCCTTCACACTCACTCACTTACGGAAACGTGCCCAGGGGCCTGAGCCACTAGGGCAGTTATGAGAAGACTTAAAAAGCTGTTTTGTCTTGCAGTGGGACCTTTACACACACAACACAGCCGTCTTATGGCCAATCATTATCCTGAAGCTCTGCATGTCTTTCCTAACCATCTGCTTCACTTTCTCCTCCCATCACTGCTTAGCAACCACTCCACTATCCACCATTACCTCAGTCAAGCTTTCAGTGTTTTAGCATTGAGCTGGTGTTCCTTTGACTTTAAAGCTCCAGATATTTATACAATGTGCCTGGGGGATGGGTAAAAGTGTGATCTGATACTTCAACAGTAGAGGAGGCCCATTTCCAAAGCCAAATATGAAATGTCACCCAAGTTAATGAAAAAGTTGCATCCTTGTCAGCAGTGATCTGATCATCAGAGGTAAGATATAAATGAGAAAAGGTCAAGTTCCACGTTTGCTGTGGTAATATGCTTTAGCTTGGATGCTTGACAGTTTGGTTTTTAAAGTTTGTTATGTACTACTTCATTATGTGCATTTCTGCGGTTGGTGTGCTACCATCATGGCACTGCACAGGCCTCATGTATCATAAAAAATCCACTGACCACCTAAAAATGTAGCCAGGTAGGAGCCCACCCAATATTTGTGCCCAGGGGCCAAGAATTTGATGATCTGGGCCTGTTCACACTTACACATCTCATGTATAAAAGCAGTTCTCTAACGATCCATCCATTTAAAGGTTTTTAAGGGATTTAAAAGTTGTTCTTCTATAGCATTGCACAAAAAAACCTGTCTAGCACCTTCATTTTTAAGAGTGTAGGATGTGGCTTAAGTGTTGTGCATGCTTGACATGATTGACAGTTTATAAGATACTCCTCTCCTGTTTACAGAGCCTGGGGCAGCCAAAGAGACCAGTTTTTTATCCTCTGAATAGATGTTATAAATTTTAACTGATAGATTTTGTGGAGAAAAAAAAAACACTCAACAAATATTCTGGAACCAAAAGAAAATCATTGCCCCTTTTTTTCTCTTGAGGAGCAGCCACGTACACACACCCCCACCCTCCCACCCACACCTCCTGTGGGTGTGCTGTTTGTGGGTGTGTATAGGAATGCAGAGTGTGGTGTGGAATAATCCCGCGCTTTGTGAGGTGATTAGTTTCAGATGTCATTAGAACAGGAAAAGTGACTTTTCAGGTTTAATCTGTCACTGGCAGCGAGAGCAGGAGCCATGCAGGTGTCACGCAACGTTTGGCCTTTGCTTCCGTGCACCTTTACCCAGCGCTGATGGGCTTTGGCACGGAATGTTGTGGAAGGTTCAGGTAGCTCAAATTTCTCCAATTAACCCAGATTCTTACATCTTGCCCTAAAGTGACAAACCAATGAATATTGACATGAATCTGTCTTAGAGCACAGCTTCTTTAAAGCATGATAACAGCAACCGCCAAATCTCAAACCTGAAAAAATCCAAAACATGATCTCGTGAGATGGAAGCATAATAAGGACTTAATGATCAGAAAATAAAACAGAACCAGCAGTTCACTCCATTGAGATTTAACCTGTATATACATCTGCTGCCATCTGCTGGTGGCACGTGGTAGTACATGTATTGGTCTCAGATTGGAATATGGACATGTAAAGGAAACTGAACTGCATTAAAACACTCAAGCTGAGTTACATTACTGTTGAATAAAGAATACATTTATCATGAAAACTTGACAATCACGTAAACTCTCCAGAAAGAAGATGTACAAGGATTAAAGGAGCCATGTTGTCTCATTTTTCTCCCCAGATGTTCATTTATAACATTTGTGTGGTTTTACATACACGTGCCTTTAAGACTGGCATATGTGAATGACCTCTGATTGGCTGCTTTGTATTGTTCACTCAAAAACATCACACATTATAACTTCAGAGTGAATGGGCGGGGCTAAACTGGTGTAGGCTGAATACACATATATGTAAATATGTTGGTTTTTGTGACATCACAAATGCTGTGAATTTGAAATGTTTTTACAGCTTAGTGTTCATATGTGGACAAGGGACTCAACGGTGTGTTTACATATTACATCTAACTCTTATTTCAGCAAGGATTTTTTCTTCATGCTATGCACCCTTTAAACACTAAGAGAAGTATAGCCCAGCATGACTTTAATTGTTTTACCACAGATTGCAAACCACTGTAAGCCTCAGTTACAGATAGCTTTGAATTGCAGTTTGCCAAAAAGAACATAAAAGCCTATGGAAATAATTTTGGGACAGTTTGCAATGGACAGATGAGATGAAAATTAAACTGTACCGAGTGACGGATTGTGTGGAGAAATAAAGGAGCAGCTTATGATCCAAAGCAAACCCCATCCTCTGTGAAACAGGGTGGTTAAGGCATGTGTGTGAACTAGCACATGTCCTTTTTGTTGAATTCTAAAGTGAACAGACATCATAAAGTAGAATTTCAAATGATTTTTTAAAATGTTTCTGCATAATTAAACTTTTAAGATGTGTACAAAGTCTTTCAGAGTGGTTTGGTGTGAGATGCGTCATTCTAGAGAAATTGTTCACAGTGGTGGTGATAGGAACCAGACGTCTGAAGAGTTTAATGCCTCTGAAAGCTAGAAAGCTGTTACATGAAACCATTACAAATATTCTACTTGTTGTCTGGAACGCTGTTTTGCAATATTTTTGTGATAATGGTTTGACCTAAAACATACTTTTTAAAGCCCCTTCATGGCAGAGAGGGATGTTCAGATGTTCAAAATAGTCCCTAAAAAGAGCTGCTTTTTTGAGATTGACCACTAATTTACCATTATCAACATTACAACTACAACTCAGATGTATATGTTCACTGGTCATTTTGGACCGATCAAATCAAATGGCCATATTTGTGTTGTATCGTGACCCCTGGTTCCTGTCATCACTGTAAACAATATTGGTGGAATTCGCCTTTGACTATTCAGATCCAACTAAAATGAATCAGTAATTCACCTTTCAGCAGGACAATGACTGAAACCCACTACTAAAGAAACTAGGTATTTTTTTCAAGGCCAAAAAAATGGGACATCCTTCACTGGCCAAGTCAATCACCTGAGCTCTAATGAGCAGCATTTCACTTACTGGTGAAAAGTTGGTGGTATATGGTGGTCAGTTTTTTCTCTTCTGAATTGGCGTCAAACAGAAAGAAAATAAAAAAGCCCCCCTTATGGTGGATCATTTAGTTTTTTCATTTAATTGTAAAATAAATATTTTTTTGTATTTTGCATTAATACCATTCACTCATCTTTTGAAATATAACATCAGTAGAACATTACACATATTTGAACTGTCCAAATCATGCATTGGTTTTACATCTTCCATTACGTATAGTTCTATTATGACATAGATTACAAAAACATAAACATAAAAATTACAGATATTGTCTTAGATATCTGTACACGATAGACACATCTGCCATCACACCATTGGCTACGAACAGCGCATCGCAATACAGACTTTGCAGACAACATCATTACACTGGTTTCTTACTACGTTTTGAGAGTACTTTTGATAGTTTTTGCATTTTTTTTTAAATCGTCTGTAAGACCGCAATACCGACCAATCAGCTTGCATACTTCATACATAAACACATACGCACGTAAAAAATAAACAAGATCTTTTAACAAAAATAGCACACGTCCAAAATAACATCTACAAATATTTAGTTACAGTACTTATGCCTGAACAGGCTCCTGAGTCCCGAGTTTTTGTGTGTATATATATATATATATATATATATATATATATATATATGCATTACGCATGAGGAAGAACTTTAGTAACTGGATATATCTGACCACAATGTAAAAATATCAAATAAAAAAAATTAACAATTTGCATAACATGTGATGAAGTTTTACAGACCATTCAAAGCCCTAAATTGACATGTTCCATATAGCACCAGATATGCATCATAACCATTTAGTGGGCAAAATTCAGCAAACTGTGTATTTAAGGCACTTCATGTCAAAACCAAAAAATAATACATTTATCTCTTTTGAAATATTGGCATGATTATGTGTTTGTTTTTTGTTCTTGAGTACATGAGAACGTAAACATTACACTTGATGGAATGGTGACAAACACACTGTTTCTGCTGTAGAACGGCAGCTCAGTCAGCCGAGGTTCGAACCCATCCACACACACTGCGATCATATGCAGCATTGAAGGTGTGCAGCATTCAGATACTGGAGGTATTGGGGAGGAATCCCTCTTGATTGATGCTCAGTTACTATAGGCTGGCTCCCATCAAATGCATCTCCATACAAATACACTGAGAAAGACAGAGAAGAAAAACGTGCAATTTAGCGTTTGTACATCAATCTACATGCAGAGTGATGTGTAAACATTGCCTTCAGGCCTTTCAGCTGACCTGCAGTCGTTGCCTCCAACGCTTATCACGTATTTGTCATCGAAGGAGAAGCGAATGTTGGTCACGTGAGCCGAGTGCCCGAAGTAGCGCTTGTGTTTGGCCTGTGAATGAAAGACAGGAAAGAAAGGAACCAGTCATACCAGAAGTTGCTCATTTGTTACAAAGTTTTAACTTCATTCAACCCTTCAATGCATATTTGGGCAGCGAGCAAACCATGACCCCATTCAACCCCTATGACTCATCCATTTTTTCAGATAAGGGACAAACAAATTATCAAATTATATCAAAACACGTTTCATCCATTTTAAAATTATTTGCTGTGTTATTTTGTCATATTTAATTAAAGAGCCCATAACATAGAAAAATGTTTTTTTCTCCCTTCTTTGAAAAGAATCTGATACAGTATGTAAACATTGTAAACAAGTATTAAAATGTACTATGGTGTCCTCAGTCCACATATGGAAACTGCAAAGGTATCAAGGTATCAGATTTGACCTTGTTTTACTACTTTTTATAATATGATTCAGAGTAAAAATATACTGAATAGACAAATGCAATGTGTATAACAATTGAATATAAACAACAAAACAGCATACTAAGCTTTGTTTTTTTCACCATTTGAAAATACCACAATTTTTTTATTTTGACAAAAAAAGAGCTCAAACTATATTAAATAATATTATCTTGGCTTATATTTGATCCTGACATACCAAACCCAATGCAGCTGAATCGTGGTCTCACAATGTTATCCATTTTTACACTCCTGTGGAAAAAAAGGATTTATGGTTTAACTATCACCCCAATCCAAATCATACTTACAAATTTCTCAGGGCAGGGGAAGTCAAAGAGCTTGACCAGGCCGAAGTCGTCCCCAGTCACCACATTCAGCCCAGCGTGGGAGACGGAGGCGCAGTTCACGTCGGCCTTGTCTGCATTCCGTGGCCACACGCCCAACACTTCGTCGCCGAGGACACTGCAGGACAGCAACAGGTCTGCGTTTATTCACTATATTTCTATATGAAACATCCTCCATGATAGTGATGCTCCTACAGTTATACTGTATACGTCACCTGGTCCAGGTAGCCCAGGTGATTCTCTCTGTAATGGCCTGCTCCACCACCACCTTACCACTGGGGACCTCATGAACTTGCCGCTTATAATTTCCAGTAGAAACCTGGAGAAGAACAAGAGGCTGAATTCAGTTCAGCTTCACCTTTTACATAAACAATACACACAGTTTAGGCTCTCTAATACAGCAGACTGTGAACTGAAACCATGAGTCAGTTTTAATTCAAGGGTATGAAAGTCCATAGTGGATGAACTGTGTAGTGTGTGTTCATTTTTATACACTGTCCTCTCATTTCAGGGGACCACAAATTGGACATAGTAGATGCCAAAATGAGGCAGTTTATCCTGGTATTTGCTTCAGGAGTGTGCTACTGCTGTCTCTCGATATGAGGACCAAAGAAGTGGCAAAGCCAGTAAAGCAGGTCATCATAAGACTTAAAAATCAGAATTAATCAATCAGAGACACAGGCAACATCACAGCAGGACAACGAGCAAAACGTATTATTAGAGTAACTGACTCCTTAATAGTTTCAGCATTCTTTACAGGTCAGTTCAACCAACAAACTTGAGCCCCACAAATCTTATATACTTTTACAAGACTGAAGGCAAAAGCCCCCTTAAATGAAGAGAAACTCAAAATGTCGGCATTACAGACTTCCCTTAGGATCAGGGAAGACCCCAGTGTTTGGGGATGTCTGTGGATTACAGACTTCAGAAAGTCATACATTCCAAGGCTCCTCAATTTTATTTAAAGGGGCATTCTAGCCTAAAACTAGAATTTGTATGTTGTTTGCCACGTTCTGTAGTATTCTGTAGTGCAGCATTAGATCCTTCAGCCTCATCAATTTGACAGAATTTATTATTTTGTATTCTTTTTGTGTTTCGCCCAACAGTGTTCTTTCACTACAATACCCAGCAGGCATTATACAAATACATAATGCAACTGTTGCAATCAACATAACACAGGCCAATAAATGCAGACGTGATGTTGAGCTTCCTAGAGGTAACGCCAGCTTAACAGCTTCCTTCTACAGTCACCTCACACAGCCCACCCTCACGTATACCCCACAAAATATTTACATTTTTTCCCCAAAATATCTGCCCACCTTCAAGGAAGGGTTTTCTTAGTCTTCAAACTGAAAGATCTCACTCTAGACACTGTTGTAAGAGGTGAGTTATATTGTTACAGATGTAGATGTTACAGATGGTCACTTTTTTATTTTGGCGTGTCCATTTAAATTGTTAGTCTGTCCAATTAATTTTGGCCACTTGAAATGCGAAAAATGGGGATTCTTGTATGCTTCACCACTGATTATTCAATACTTCAACCTCACAGTTTGAGTGCAATTCCAATGTGCTGGAGTTTCTTGAAAACATGTCTGTTTATTTGGTGCACACTGTATATCCATTGATTTATTTTTGTCACCATCATTATTACTTATTACAAGACAATGCAAAATGTAACAGCTGAATATTAAGTCCTAAAACTAATAAATGGTGTAACGCACCGTCTAGTGCCTCCTTTTGTTTGAGTTAAATCACTGATTCAGATTAAAGAGGCTTCATCCTGACATCCCTTAATCCCTCACAGGATTATCTGAGGCCATTAGCTGACAGTAAACTGCCTGTTTGTCTGCTTATTTGTTGTGACTCATACGAAGCATGCACCCATTACTGACAGGATTATTGCTTGCATTAGTATAAATGAGACTAATATTTAAAAAATGAACAGGAATAATGATTAAATGGGTAATAAAGCAGTCAGCGCACAAGCACAGACCGAAATTAACTTGCTGTCGGCGGAGAAGTCCAGCTGGATGACGAAGCCGGGGATGTCTTTGCAGTAGCCGATGCGGTTGAGGGAAGGACCCAGCGTCAGGTCGTAGAAATCTACAGCGCTCTCCACAGACCCCACGGCCAGCAGCCGGTTATCAGGACTGAACCTGCGGACGCGGTTCTCATATTAAAACCACACAACTGGACTTTAAAACAACACGCAGTAGGTGGCTGGCATAGTGCCACGGGTAACAGTACTGCCCTCCATGCAGCAGAGGGGGCTTTAATCTCCTACCCGGGCAAGCACACCACCCAATATCAGTAAAAGTCCTTGGGCAGGACTCTTAAAATTACATTCACCTTCCTGTGATTATGATTAATCTGAGGAATTAACATGATTAAACTCTAAGTCACTTTGGATAAGAGCTTCTGCCAAATGCATGAAGGTACAATACAGTGACCTGCAACCCAGTCATTCATTTACAGTCAAAATAGTTTCACTCATCATTTTTCAATATAAGGAATGAAGCGTTATTTTAACTTCATTGATTAATATTATTTTTAAGGGTTATTATACGTTATTCAGTAACTATTACAAATTATTTGGTGACTATTAGGGGTCTAAAAATGCACTGCTGCATGGTGATGCATTGATATGAAGATCTCAATGAGCTGCATTGTGGAATAATTTTAGAATGTTAGAATCGGTGTAAATTAATAAATGTTATCAACATTCTACTACTGTGTAAATACTTCCTCTACTCTCTGTGATGTGTACGTTTATGTGCTGACCTTATGTCCTGAATAGCCACATTGCGGTCTCTTTTCTTGCCCCACACGGTGAGAGAACTGACCAGCAATACAATGAACTCTCCGTTCTCCATTCCGATGGACAGCATCTCCCCGTTGGGGCTGAATGCTGTGCACTTGGCTGGATGACCCAAGCTGACTTTGTTCAGAAGTTTCTGAAAGGAAATAAACCAAAGTGTCGTGAAGAATCGCCACTGTGAGCATCAGTGAGCTTTCATAAAAAAAAACAAACAAACATAAAAAAACCCCACAAAATCACAAATGCTTAGAAATCACAGTTTTTTCCAGAGATAACAAATTCGATAAAATGTTAATAAATTTGATATAGTATTAGTTATTTTTCACTCATAACTCACTGAAAAAAGATTAGGAGAAATTCTTTCAAAAGTGCAGATTCTAAATTTCAGTGTATACCTCATTTGTGTAAGTAGGAGATTTTTAATTATGACTTGAATTTGATGGAAAACTATTGCTGTGTACAGTTTTGTGGGAAGAAGAAAAAATATCAACTTCACAACTTTGTATTTTTTCCATGTTTTTATCATTTTTGACATTGAAACAAATGGCAAATGTTAGAGATGTAGACTGAATGTTAATCAATAAATATAATCCATTATGTAATTATGTAATTACATACAGTGCTGTGTAAAAGTCAGATACCACACTTACCACATTTAATTTTCAGTCAAAACAGCGATTAAGTACAAGTTATTCATTTATTCATTCAACGTCAGGAAAAAAAGCAGAAATTACACAGAAGATTTAACAACTAAATATAATGTTTAGTCAACTTTCCTTTAGTTTTTTTAAGAAATCTGCAGGGTTATTATTCCACGCCTCTAAAGTTCAGTCTTAGAAGTTGCATTTTCTGCTTCTCACAATCAAAACACATTCAGTGTTGTTGAGGTCTGGACCCCGGGGTGGTCGGTCCATTGATCTGAGAAGACCAGCAACTTTTTGGTTTGATTTGAAAGTTTTCTTCTTTTTTTATTTTTCTCTTCTCAATAAGTGAAATGATCCCACTATATTGGCAGATGATTTGTTTTGCCTGAAACAAGTAAAACTATCTTCCATTACGATTAGTGACATCATTTTACTTATTTATAAACTTTAAACAGTGGAAGGATGGACAGAAACACCTGTTTTCTCAGATCTGAAGCAGTTTGATTTTCTCCTCTCTAAGATGAAAGCTTTAACTACTGTTTCTCTAATGATGACAGGTTTGATTGTCTACCAGGTCTTCCACTGTTGTTAGGAGTCCAATTTTTTCTTTCAATACTTTTGTAAACTTTGAAAGATTTGGAAACTTCTGCTTTTTTTACTTATTTACTTTTCCCTTCTGATCCAACTGGATTATTTTAGATCTAATCTCAGAAACATTTCCTGAAAACTGCAACTGCTGTTTTGACTCATAAAAGATGAAAAGAAATGAAAAAGATAAAACTTAAATTTACTCTGCTACCTTGTCTGCTAAGTCCCAAATGCGGATGGTTCCATCGTCACTGGCTGAGATGAAGACGTCTTTGGAGGGGTGTGTGGCCAGACCCCAGATTCGGCCCTGCGTGTGTCCATTTATCATCGTGTTGGAGGCAGCATTCTTTTCTCCCACCTCTATGATCTCTCCATCCTTCGTCCCCACCAAGATCTTACCCTTCAATTCAAAGATAACAGCATTTCCTTCAAATCTAGGGTGATAAGAGTCTCTCTTTCAATTCATTATTGAATACAGCTTCATTATTAATTCAGTATATAAATAATGACTCAGTATTCATCACTGAACACCTTATTGCTCACAATTATTCACAGCGAAGCTCAGTGTGGTGAAAGGTGAGGAGCTGGTGTATCTGGTGTAGTAATCAGTTGGCTCTCACCTTTCCCCTGCAGACAGATCTGACGCTCTCTACGGGGAGGCCAGTCTCCAGCTGAAACGCTCGACATCTCCTCATCTCCTGATCCCACAGCTTCACCGCTCCGCCCTCTTTGGTCCTGAGGAGGACGCATATAATTACACATAAACACCAATATAAGGCAGGTTTATGCAGAATGGTAATCTGAAACTGCTTTACATGCTGTCACTGTCACATGAAAATGTAGTTTTGGGGAGTTTTGTTGTTTTGTTTTGTTGCTTTTCTAAGTAAAAATATCACCTACAGGGATATTTGGCATTTTCCTGCTAAATTTAATGCACAAAATATTTGCAATATTTTTGTTTATTCCCTAAATTTAACTTATGTTCAAAATGCAAAAAAAACCCCATAAAATATAAAATACGCTGCATCTTCTGCACATGCCACACTTTGTTTTTTTTTCCGTTTGTTAAATTCAGCAAATGACCATTAACTGTGCATTAAAACGCGCACAAGTGTGTTCACTGTAGAGAAGGTGTTCACTACATAATTTCACATAATCAACAAAACGTCATGTAATCAGGAGCAGCCAAACTTTTGCATACAACTGTGTGGTTCAAAATGAATCGGGAGATTAAAAATAAAATCTTGAATGTCCATTTGGAGCTTCACTCCTCCAATTTGGAAAGTTTTCTTATGATTTTTACAATTTATAATCTCAAAACAGAACTAAAAATAACTCTCTGACACCACACACACACACACACACACACACACACACACACACACACACACACACACACACAGTTGACTCACGGTCTCTCTTTGCCTCCTGTGACTATAAGGCCGTCTCTGAGGGTGGTGTACATGGTGAAAACAGGTCCAGTGTGAGCTTTAGCCACCACACGCACCAGAAAATGATCCCTCCACACATACACATCGCCGTTGATGGCACCCGTAAACGTGAGGTTGTTCTACAGAATAGGAAAACAGGCACATTAACCCTCCCAGATCCTACAGCGTCTTACACTTCATTTAGTTATTCCTTGTTCACAGCCCTTTAAAATACATAGCAAATATATAACAAATGGTAATAATAACTACAAACATTTTTAAATCCAATTTTCCCTCCAATTTAGTTATGGTCAATTCCACTGACTAGCTAGGTCTCACTATCATACAAAGCCAGCCACTGCACCTTTTCAAACTGAAGCTCATGCAACGTCTTTGGACAGCTCAACATGCTTGCAGGAGAATGCTAACTGTCAATTCTGTTATGTCAGCTAAGAGACGCGTGTGATTTTTAGGGTTAATCCCTTAAATGGCCAGGAACTGCCTGCATGCCCAGGCTTCCAATTCTCACTCCTGTAACTTAAGAATAACCCTGCCAGTTTGTACTGTTTTACAAGTAATATTGCGAAATATTATACTGAATACTAATATTCTTGAATAATAACACTTAGTATGTTACAAGCCTGATATTTTAAGGGGTTAAATAATAATAAATCAATACGCAAAAAATAACTAACTAAAAAAAAATAACTTTTTTTTGCGTAAATAACTTTTTACTGACTTTCCACCATGCAAATGCAGTACAACCTCAAATTATAGGTCAAACAATATGAGCTTCTTTTTGGGTTAAACTACAACATGTAGTTTTTGACAAGTATATGACGATGCTGTTGTGATTATTATGCTGTATCAGGTTTAATGTATGTTTTTTGTGTTACTCACAGCACCAAAGGCCACAGAGAGCATGGTCTGCATCCTGCCCTCCTCCACCGCTCCAATCACTCCTTTCTTATACAGCAGAGAGCCGCCCACCAGCGTCCAGAACTTGATGTGTTTGATCCCGACAGACACAAACTGGGTGTCCGAGTCCGGCCGGAATTCCACGACGAAGATTCGGTCAGAGTGACCGGCCTTACTGCTCACTCTACTTCCTGGAGGGTCAGCGGGAAGATCAGCATTAAACACCACACTAGGTTAGACTGAATATAGAGTCAGCTATCTTACACAGAACAACCGAATCCTTAAATTCTTTGTGTAATAAGTTAGAGCTAGAATAAGCTATAATAAAGAGCATAAAAGCAACGTAACCCGTGAGCTCTGGTCAGTTGTGGTGTTCTACGTCATGAACCCTCAACTTGCTGCAAATTTTATTCTTGGAACTATTTACAGGAGATTCTTAATTGTAGCCTTATAATTATTTTAAGCCTTAAAATTACTTGCTGTTCCCCAAGGACTGGATGTAAAACCTGCACAAATTAAAATCAAATTGTCATAAGCTGAGTGACAAGCAAAATTTAATCACTAAATTCTTGAAGTCCAATTCTAACCATAATAAAGGAGCAACTCTACCCTCTATTTAATCACAGGGTTAATCACTGACCTAAAAAAAAGGAAAAGATGCCAGTGATGTCTAACTCTCTGCTTTTATTTTGAAACACAGCTTCTCTGGCACTGCATCTACAATTCTTTTTAATAGATAGATAAATAGATAGATACTTTATTGATCCCGAAAGAAATTTAACAGCCAGTAGCAGTCACACAACACAGCACAGTTATAATAATAAGGGTGGTACACAAAAACCTATCTACAGACATATATACAACTAGAAATATACAAAAATATGCAACAAGATCTATCCTGAGATAAAAAAGGCAGCGCTATGATGAATGTACAAGGAGACGTAGGTAACAGCATATAATGACAATACTGAATAAATATGTGCAGATATTGGTGCTGAAATAAAGTGTCTAGGTGTGGAGTGTCCAGATGTGCAAGATAAGGTGTGCAGATGTGCAATATGTGCAGTAAGGTGTCCATATGTGCAGATAGATAAAATAAACCTATAAACCTATGATGTACTCTAATGTCAAGAATTTTTACGATCCAAATCTTTAATGATGTGCTATTTTGGTTATTTGACTGGCCACATTATTATGAGATCAGGCCAAAGATTTTTTTAGACTATAATGTTTAAAAAAACTCCTATTAAGTAAATTTTCTCAATTTTACTTGATTTGTGTGTTTTTTTTTGACTGAACTTAGTTTTCTTCCTGCAGACTGACACACACTCACACACCTTCCTGCCAGCGCCACACAGTGATGGTGTGTTCTGGATCGACTCCCACTGACAGCAGCAGTTTGCCGGTGGCACTGAAGTTGACATAGCCGACACCTTTAGCGTGGGAGCAGCGTAACACAGAGAGCGTCTGCTTACTCATCGCGTCCCACACGTGGATGGAGGGTGCCAGGCCTACAGACACACACACACACACACAAAAAGATTAAATCAGTGTGTATCCTCACTGAACAGCTTAGTTTCACTCTACCAGATGCTTTGGGCTCAGCTGAGAGAAACTGATGGTGGTTCCCAAACTTTTCTCTACAGTTCATATCAGCAAAGTTTATAGAACAATACAAAAAATGGCATGTTAGCAAGAGAAAGCATATTAAACATTTCTCATTATGCGTTTGTTGTAAGCAAACTGAGATCATTCCTCCGATTTCTAGACATCTTTATTTATTGCTTGTTTCAAAAAATAACGCTTGAACAAAATTCCAAATTAGCTTCCAGTGCATTAACACCAGTCTCATAAGGAGAAATACTGCCTACATTTAAACAGGCCTGTCACAATTACATGAGACAAATGCATGTAAAGGAAACAAAGCAGAAAAAGCATGTATTGACGCGTGTAATGGGTCCAATGAAAACAACAGAAATTCTGATTTCTGATTTGAAGCTATAACACCTTTAGAAAGCAGCAGTTATTAATACTTGTTTATTGGATTTTTATTATAGTCACACTAAGACAGATTTGGGGTTTTGGAGACCTCTCTGGTGGAAATGTGTGGAAAAACACTTTGTAACACCAGCTGTGTTTCAGATCTCCTCCCCGAGCAGATGAATCTGATGACTGCCACCGCGTTGAAAGAGTATTCAAAGAGTCAAAATTTGGTGAAGGACGTGTCTTCAAAGGATGATCTACTATTGACATCATATTTTCAGCAGTATAATGTTGATTTTGCATTTCAGACCTAAACATCAAGCTGGACCGTCTTTTGGAGGCTGTGCATGAAAACTATGGTGAACTCCTGCATAAATACAACCAACAACTCTAACTGTTAACCAATAGCCAAGGTCCACCAGCAGGCACAAAGTTTTATTATACATTTCTGTAACCTAAGAACAGCTTAACCAGTCCTCAAGTCCCTGTAGAATAACAGGCTTTAGTATGTAATAAGCCTGAGATTTTAAAGGGTTAAATTACTATTTCAAATAACTGTTTTTTTCTGTCATCAGAAACAGCTAATTATCAACATTCAGGAAGCGAATCTGCTAATCAACCAATCTGGGCACTTCAGGCTTTCACTTTAGTTTTTTTGCAGACAGTTAACAAAAAAGACCATTAAATTGTTCAGAGCAATTATTTATATGGTACTTAATTGTCAGCTGCAATTACTACGTTTAAAATGCTTTCAGTTCCCAAGACCATTTTTTGCAGTGTAAAAGCAAAACCAAAAAAGGCCACGAAGCTGAGGATTCATTTGGGATTACCATTAAACAAAGCCAGAATGGTCAGCCTAATGGATTTTTAGAACATAAGTAATGTACGGAAGACATTGTAAAATGGCTTTATGGTTCCAAAGCAAGTCCCAAGGCACCATGCTAGAAGGCGAGAAGTGGAAAAGGCTTGACATTAACCAGTTCCAGGATGACTCATGCAAGCCAATGACTACTTTTTTGTGAAGAACAGAAATACTGGGATAAATACCACAAGGCCAAGGTCAGAAAACACTACTGGGCATATGTACTGCAGAGGAAATAAACGCTGAATAAAAGTGATGGACTGAATCTACTTGTTTTAAAATGATGTATACCATTCCAAATAAATGAAATATATTACATATAATACATTACGGCTGGGCAATACAACAATATTTCATTGTTATCATCAAACAATATGACCAGCTGCCTGGTTCATTAGACTTATTTAAGTGTTCAATTCATTGTTGAATTCATAGTTTTAAATGTGACACTATGACCACATTTTGTCTGTTAAAATATTGTGAATATGTATCATACAGCGTGAAAATCATTAGATTATATGTTTTACTCAAGTGGATATTGTGTATGCTTTTAAATCAAGTTAACTCAAAGCATCACTTTTATTTCAAAGCTGAGGGACCACGACAGCAGACAAGGTAGCTTGTTTGATTGGCTCAGGACAGAGAGCAGACTGCAGTGCATTATGGGGGCTGTAGTTCCAGTGCCTTACCTGGCAGATCAGTGATCTCGCCTGATTGGTGAGGTGTAGGTGAGGGAATGAGAGCACAGCCAAAGAAAAAAAAAAGCAATGAGAAGGAACTTCAGGGACAAGGCAGGTCAAATGCCAGATTTAAAGAAAATCAGCAAACTTATGAGCAAATTGTTATAATGAACACAAAGCTGTGTAGAGTGAAAGGAGGCAAAAAGTGTACAGGTGAAGCAAAGCGAATGATCATGATGGTGACTGTCTTTCTATGTTTAATGCCGCAGGGTGAGTTTTATTCATACTGTGCTTCTCTCATGTTGTCCACATGTAAAATGCAGCCCACCTATTTGTCCCGTGGCGATGATGTTTTGATATTTGGGGTGTTGATTGACAGTGAGGCAGAGGATGTCGTCTGTGTGCTCAAGGTAAAAGCTCTGCGTGCCTGTGAGAGCGCAGGAAGAACAGGGATTAGTAAAACTGGCAGGAATGATAGTATTATGTAGGTTATTGTAGCAGGAATCATCACTTAATTTGACTCTTTTCATCAGTCATTATAATTGTCAGTAATCATAACTGATTCATTGCTGTCTGATCTATTACAACTTCATTTGTTTCATAGAGCAACAGAAAATGTCCAAAATGGTACTTAAAAAATCTTGTTGCATTAATGTACATTAAATTATATAATGTTTTTAATTTACCATTATGGAGATAAAATATTTTTATTATGACAGCTGATTGATTCATTGAACAGAGGCCTGCATTTCACTGTAAATCCTCAAGGGGTCAGCATGGTTTATCAAAGTTACCACAGTTTGAGATACTATTAGCACAAAACTAACTGGTGGTTATAAGCTTCCATTACTTAGCTATTTTAGCCTTATAGCTTTAGCGCATAACTCATCATTACACTATTCAGACCTCATAGATCTCAGAACTGTGTCTGTTTTATGTTAGAGCTGAGAAATCAGCTGTGATGGCAGACGAGCTGATCCTAAGTCAGTTCTATGTGGAGCAAAAGCATCTGTGTACCAGCAGACAGGTTCTGAATCACAGCTGCCGCTGCTGTGTGGAAGATGATGTCAGCTCCGTCATTGAGGTAGTGCAGATTGTTACGGCAGTCGAAGCCTCTGTATCCAAAAACATGGTCCAGTGCCAGCTCCTAGACAGACAGACAGACAGACAGAAAGACATACATTGTTGCGTACCTAATACACTTCTCCAGTTAAGAGTATGAAAAGGGGAATTCCACAGATTTTTTTTTTAATTCCTGCATAATTAAATAGTTAATATGTAAACAAAAGTTATTCAGAGTGGTTTAATGTGAAGCATTTCATTCTAGAGAGAATTACCAAGTCAGACTTGTGATCCCTGGTTTCTATCACCACCATTAAAAAGATATCTGAGTTGATGAGTTTCTCTACATTACACCATTTCACATCAAAACACTCTGAATGACTTTGTTTACATCTCAATGATTGAATTATGCCAAAAAGTTTTTAAAAAATTGGAAAAAACGAAATTGTCATTATTTTCTCCTTACCACGAATGTAGCCAATTTTGGGAAATGTAGCCATGTGGGGAAAACTGCGTCAATTCAGTCTTTTGCCAAACTATTCCTTTAATAACAATAAAATACCACAAACCTCCACCACTTTCTTCTTCTTGGTGATGTTATTCTTTAACAGTTTCTCTGGTAATGGAGCTGCTCTGCTTACCGGAGGCCTACAGAACACAAACAGAGAGAGAGAGTGACCTTTCATCATGGCTGAAATTGTGGTCTGAACCCAAACACACCCCGAGAGTCCGATCTGACCCACAGCACAAGTCTGAAACTGACCCGAGAATGACCTGACTTGAAGTACATAATGATTTTTTAAGTCTGAAGACTGACCTGAGTTCAAAAAGTTTCTGTCTGATACTGACGCAAATGGACTCACCATTAGCCAAAATGCTGAATAAAAGCTAAAGAGATACTGCTGCGAATATCACAGTGTAGCAACAATACCTGCCATCATTAGATCATCGAAAATAAATGAAAAAATAATTTATATCACATAATAAAATAACAAGCTGTTTAAAATTAAAATCTACTTAAATTATTTTCTCATCAAGCAATTCTTTTGAACTTTTTTTATCTCAGATAAGGTTTCTATACTGCACTGTTTGTAGTTGTACAGTTACAGACTGTAGATCATCTATTTCTCTGTATACTTTGTTATCTAATTTTTACCCTGTTCTACAGTAGTTTCTGATGGCGCGAGTGGATCAGACACAGCAGTGCTGCTGGAGTTTTAAACACCTCAGCATCACTGCTGGACGGAGAATGGCGTCCTGTGGGCAGCGTCCTGTGACCACTGATGAAGGACTAGAGGATGACCAACACAAACTGTGTAGCAGCAGATAAGCTATCGTCTCTGACTTTACATCTACAAGGTGGACCAACAAGGTGTCTAACAGAGTGGACAGTGAGTGGACACAGTGTTTGAAAACTCCAGCAGCACTGCTGTGTCTGATCCACTCGTACCAGCACAACACACCACCACTACGTCCACCATCCAAATAATACCTGCTCTGTGGTGGTCCTGTGGGGGTCCTGACCATTGAAGAATGGGGTAAGGGTGAGATAACAAATTAAGCAGAGAAACAGATGAACTACAGTCTGTAATTGTAGAACTACAAAGTGCTCCTTTATGGTAAATGAAGCTGATAAAGTGGACAATGAATGCAGAACTCGTCTGAACCCGACTTCAGCAGTTTAGTCAAATATGTTAAGCTCTACTCTCCAGTCTGGGTATAAACCTGTTATGGAGGTGACTGTGTAAAGTAGCCGTGATCTATCTTAAATCATTACCTCTCATCCACAAGAATTTCCTTCTGCTGTTGATGTGGCTTAACTCCACTCATCTCTCTGATGCTGACAGCGTAGATTTTAGTTGTATAGTCCATGTTCTTCTCTCGGGCCACATCGCTGTCGTACCCTACACAGAAACCAAAATCAGTCCAACTGTAAAATGTGGAATCATTGCCACATAACTTCTGATTCCATTTCACTCACACAGCAGGAGAAAAAGCATTTGTATGGAAAGCCTTGAAATTATGGATCAAGCTACTAATTAATGTCGGAAGTTCAGATCAATCAATCAATCAATCAACCTTTATTTAAACTCGGAGAACATTGAGGGAGACCCTCATTTACAATGTAGCCAAGCCAATATATCATAATATAATAGATCAGGGATTGAGGAGTTGGATAATAAAAATAAATAAATAACTAAATTATAACTAAATAACAAAAATTACTGATATCTTTTAAATCTAGGCTAAAAATGTAAATCTTGGTCTGGCTTTTATGGAAGACACATATTCATGGATTCATATATCTTAACGGGCTCATATCCTACATTTTGTTCTGTCTCATTTTTTTCCATTGAGGTCCACTTATGACATCTGCGCAGTAAAAACAGTCGTAATTTCTTTTGCATGACCTTTTTTTGCAGCTTCACTTTATCCCTTAAAAAATAAAAAGCCTGTTTGAGTTACTGTGCCTTTAAGACTGATCTATGTAAATGACATCTGTGCAGATTGGCCACCTTGTCTTGTGTCTTATTCAAATGGTAGTTCAGGCTAAAACACTATATATATCTTCAGAGTGAATGGGTGGAGCTAAACTGCTGTAGGCCTGAATAGGTGGATATATGTAAATGTGTTGGTCTTCATGACATCACAAAAACAATTCAAAATTAATTCTAAATGAATTTTGCAGTTTAGTTTCTATATATGGACTGTATGGCCTGAGGAGTGAAAGGTATGTTATGGAAGTTTAAACAGTGTCTACATACTACATCAAACTCCTATAAAAAAGGGAGAAAAATGCCCTGTAGGTGCTCTTTGATTTATTTAATTCATATTTATCAGTTTTATTAATGCTTTGTCTTATTATATTAATGTTTTATTGTTTCATATTATCTTATGTCTTTTTATTAAAGTATAAAAAGGCATAGGACCACACAGACACACAAACACACACACACACACCTCCGTCTTCCTCTGCATCATCATCCGACTCCTCGCTGTCGACGGCTTTACTCTCGCGTGGTCCGATCCCCTCCCTCGCCCAGATCATCAGCGCCATGTCTGCCCCGCCCACAGACAGCAGCATGGCGTCGTCATTGGACCATCGCACGTTGGTCACATTGGCACTGTGGCCCACGTACTTCTTAAACTTGGCAAACTGACCCTGCAGGGAGCAGCATTTACTGTTCACTGGAATTGTCCCAACTCACAATGCACTGCTGCAGTTTTAGCAGATCCGACAGCCGCTCCAGAGGAAGCATGCAGACGTTTGGATCATTACAGTAGTTAATATGTAATTTGGTTTAAAGTGATGGTTTGACAAAAACTGAACTTCTACAGTTTTCCCCTTTCCCTAAATGTAGACCATTCACAATACATACCTAAAGGGGAATTCCACTGATTTTTTCAAAATTTCCAAATTTCCATTTTCATAAGTAAATCATTAAGTTATTCAGATTTGTTTGATGTGATGCTCCATTCTAGAAAAACGTACTGAGGCAGAAGTGTTCACAGTGGTGCTGAACCTGATGTCTGAAAATTTTAAAAAGCTTCTCAAAGCTTCCTCACAGAAAGTTATATCAAATGCACTGCCTTTTTTACGCTGGCAGTTCATGATAGTTTTGGGATTAAAGTTTTGTTCTTTGGTTATATAAACTCATGGTGGAGAGGTACATGCGGGGTGTTGTAGGGCAAAATAGTCTCCAAAGAAGACTTATTTTTACAGATTCAGTGCTGTTTTATCATTATCAACATTACATATAGAAACTCAGAAGACTGGTTTTCATCTCACCGATTGAATTTTTTAAATTGTGAAAAAAATCAGACCAAACTTCTTTGGTTTGTGGAAAAGACAAGTTTCTGATGTTTTGACACATGCATGTGTTTTATCACCTCTTCATAACTCTGAATCGGTAATTATAGAGTAGTTTCAGTTTTAAAACGAGGCACATTTAAAGTCAGTCTAAAATACTAGATATACACATTTGACTGCATGCAAGAATGATATTATGTATTAATGTGCTGAGGTTTCTGCACTTTGTAAAAGCAGTAACACACTCGAGGCTGTCAAAGGGATTTCACCCTGCTTCGTGTCGGGCAAAACCACAGTCACATGGGGAGTCTTGTGGCTTATTGCTTTAATATTACAAGACAGATAACACATAAATAAAACCAACGAGCTCAGACAGAACCGAGAATAGCATGATTCAGAAAGTATGGTAGACATTATCACTGTTACTGTAAGGCGTGATCCCATTTCTTATTTTTACCCCTACCCCTTGTTTTCGAATGACACGGTTACAAGGGTAGTAGTTGAAATCTTACCTCTGAAATGGGACCCTCAAATAAAAAGAGCATTACTTCATTAACAGCCACTAGCACTGCTCTGTAGGCGACCCTGCCAGTCTGCAGTGACAGCAGAGGAGGGTAAAGTTCAGCTCCTCACTGCTGGGCTTTAGTTACATTTAGGGCATCATATGACTTCAAAGATGGGGACAATTATTTATTATTACCCACCACTAATTCTTCAGTGATATGAAGCTGAAGTCAGCTATTCACCAGTTTCTTGTTCAAATTTTCCTGTTCTACCTTAAATGGAACAGCAGTTGTGACACCTGAGGCTCCAGAATGTAACTGCACCACCATTTAAGGTGGAATGGGAAATGTAGCTAGCTAGCTACCGAGACATTAGCATACAATTATACTATTATTTTTTTTTATGCTTTTTATGAAGAAAACGATCATAATACATTGAAACGACATTAAACTAAGGTAATACAATGGTTATCGTCATTTTTAACAGAGAAAAATTCTCACATTTGTGGGTTTCTTTGGTCTCTTGTTCAGCCATCTTGCCAGGTTTTCTTTTTTTCTCATAACACTCCGTTTGAGTGAGCCTCTGAAAAACCTCCGTTTGGAGGGCCATGTAGCCAAAACACTTCACCCTACCCCTCTATCTCAACAACAATCGGGACACCCTATCGCTAATTGGAGGGATAAGGGCTAAGTGGTAGAGGCTAAGTCAGTAGTGTACTGGTATTGGGCAAGAAATGGGCCTAAACAACTGTGACCTTTTACTCCTATGACTTCATTTTACATCTTTTGGTTCAATGTTAAACAGGTTAGTGTGAATGCTGAGCGAACCAGAACTAAAACCTGTGAATCCACAACTACAAATATAAACACACCCTGACTCCAGCGCCAGTTTCATACATAACACGCAGGCAGAACGTGTCCACGAAACGTGCCGCGAAAGGCTTAGTACATCAGAACCTCTGTCTTGTACGTTACCTTAGAGGGAAAGCTGAAGAGTTTGATGAAGCCAAAGTCATCTCCAGTAGCCAGCAGCTTTCTGTCTTTGGTAAGTGAAGAGGCATTGACGAAACTAAGCGTAGGCCAGATTCCCTCACAGGTAGGACCCAGGACAGCTGTCCACGTAGCCCACTCCACCTTCTCAAACTACACACAAATACACACATACAGGTGCTACACTGAAGTGCCTCTGACTTCCCCATTCAAATACTGCATGTCTTTATACATTTCTGCTCTGTGTCTCCTTTACCTCAGCGGTGGAGATGTTCTGCCTCCGTCCACGGGGAGCTTCGAAGAATAAATGCTCTTTGGCACCAGTGTTCACTTGCAGCAGTTTACCTGCATCACAGTGTGAAATGGCTTCTGATATAGCATTGCTACATAACTGCTCAGGGCCACTGATTCATTAATTCAGTCACTCATTGATAAGACTAATCTACTCTAATGATTTATTTACTGTTAGCATTGTAAGAGTCTGTATAACTCTTACCGCGGGTGTCCCAGTCGATGTGGGTGACGTAGCTGGTCGCTCCTTTACAGATACCCACTCTTTTACTGGTCAGTACATTGTAGATGTCCACAAATGAATCATGGGAGGCCACTGCTAGGTACTTTCCAGCATCTAGATGAAAAAGATTAAACACTGAATATCAAAGCATGGTTTCAGTATGTTATAATGAGTCTCTATTAATGTTTTGCAGTAATAATAAGAGAACATGGGTGAAGAATTATCATAGCTATATCATTTTCTCTGAAATATGAAAGACAGTTTTCAGGTCACAAATATGGATGTTTCAACATAAGATCAGAGTTAGGCAAGAAAGTATTTTTGACCCATCCATAAAATTATGGAACAATCTACCTATTAATGTTCCAAATTTATCTATTAATTAAAACAGTTTCATGAATTTGTATACTGTAATTGTCCCTCGACTGATTTTATCTTTCGTTGTTTTATTATTATACTATTAACACTTTTAATTATTATAGTATTAATACTTTTATTTATTTCTTATGTTTTTCCAAGAATCTCTTAAAGGGGAGTTCCACTCAGTTTTAAACATTTCTGCAAAAATCAGTCATTGAGATGTAAATAAACTCAGTCAGAGTGGTTTGATGTGAAATGGTTAATTCTAGAGGAACTTACTGATTTCTTTACAGTGTAGTGATATAAACCAGGGGTCACAATGTCTACAACACAAATATAGCCTTTTATTTACTATCAAATACAGTCAGTGAACCTTTCGTTCATAATGGTTGAACGAAATAATGGTTTAATTTAATGGTTAAAATAATATGTTTCCTTTGGGGACCATGTTGCCTGACAACACCCGGCATGTACCCCTCTGCCATACATATTTTTTTTTGAAAAATACAATTTTGTCCAAAACCTTCTCAAAACTATCATAAAATGTCTCAGGCATCAGGCAATGTATTTGTACCAATTTAATCTAATAGCTTTCTGTGAGGGAGCTTTTAGAGACATTAAACTCTTCAGAGGTTTGGTTCCTACCATCACCACTGTGGACAATTCTGATTCTATGACATTCTCTTGAATGGAGCATTTTACATCAATACACTCTGAATATACTGTTTATATCTTGACCATTTAATTATTCAGAAATTAAGAAAAATCAGTGGAATTCTTCTGTCAGTCTTACTTATTTTAGCCTAGACTTACAAATAATCACAGTACATTAATGTTGAATTAGGTGGTAGACTCTTCCATAATTTGGTTCAGAGATCTCCCTGTTCTTGCCCACCTCTCCCAAATCCCTGCATATCCACTGATGCTACCTTGAGAGAACTTAAGGTCAGAGATGATCTCCTTTCTGTGGTGGAAGGTCACCATGTCCTCCAGAGTGTCAGCATTCACCACCAGAAAGCTGCCGTCGTTCAAACCCACCGCTAAGGCTTTCCCATCCGGGGAGAAGGCACAGCATCTACCGCCTAAACATCAACATATGAACACACAAACATATCTAAACAGCTCTTATTAAAAGGTGAAGCTTAGGTACAGTGGAAAAACACTGAAATACAATGCAAACACTGTAAATAACACTATATGTGGTTTTACTGGGTACATATTCATGGTATTAATGCAAAGTAGATCAGCACACCTTTCTTAAGTTTGCGGACGGCCACCATCCGATGATTGGCGGATAGCTCCCAGATGCGGAGTGTTTTGTCGTCACTCACAGTGGCACATATAGGCAGCAAAGGATGAGCAGCAAGACCCCAAACCTCACCCTCCATATGGCCCTACGTACATACACATGCACATTCATTTCATTTACCGTTATCTTGGATAATTGGTGTGTGCAGACTTAAAACCACAAAAGCACGATTTACACAATTCAATAAGATCTCTATTAGTCTCTCCTCCTACATCGGCATATATACAGTACTGTGCAAAAGTCAGAGACCGTCCTTCATTTATTTCATTTCCAGTCAAAGCCATTAAGTATAAGTTTCTTTTTAGTGTCAGGACAAAAACAGAGAGCATAAATTTAACAGACAATCACACAAAAATCTAAACTAAATATGATATTTTTTTTTTCAGTATTTAGTGTGTCCACTCTTAACTGTTAACAGCTTCCACTGTTTGAGACCACAGGTTTTAGGTAAATATGCAGGGGTATTTTTCCACATCTCCAAAATTTAGTCTTAGAAGTTTGTTGCATTTTCTGCTTCTCACATTCCAAATAATCTCACATTTAATTATATTGAGGTCTGCACTCTGGGGTGGTCAGTCCTTTGGTCTGAGAACACCAGTAGCTTCTTTATTCAATTTGCAAATTTTCCTCTTTTTTCATCTTTGTCCTTTTCCCAGTAGCTTCATGGCACCTAACAGCTACACACCCTTTATGACCCATAGCACTGAGTTGTCTTCTAACAGTGGAACTATGAACAAAAGCTTAATGTTCTCCTCTCTCTCAAAGAAGAAAGCTTTAAGTGCTGTTTATCTGATGGAGACAGTTTCGGTGGTCTAGCAGGTCTAGCATCCTTTTATAACTTTTGTAACTCAAAATCTGCTATTTTGCTTCGACTTCCCTCTTAACCCTCTGCGAGTAGATTATCTTTTATCTAATATCCTGAGAAATGTCTTCTGTAAAATGAATAAATTGTACAACCCCAATTCCAAAAAAGTTGAGACGCTGTGTAAAATATAAATAAATATAAATAAGAACAGAATGCAATGATTTGCAAATCTCATAGACCAATATTCTATTCACAACAGAACATAGAACAACAGATATTGAAAGTGAGATATTTTACCATTTTATGAAAAAATTAACTCGTTTAGAACTTGATGCCAACAACACATCTCAAAAAAGTTGGGACAGGGCCGTGTCTACCATTGTGTAGCTTCCCCTCTTCTTTTAACAACAGTCTGTAAACGTCTGGGAAGTGAGGAGACCAACTGCTGGAGTTTTGGGAGAGGAATGCTGTCCAATTCTTCTCTGATGTAGGATTCTAGCTGCTCAACAGCCCATGGTTTCCAAAAAGAATTTCAAATTTTGATTCATCTGACCACAGAACAGTTTTCCATTTTGCCTCTGTCCATTTTAAATGAGCTTTGGCCCAGAGAAGACAGCAGCGTTTCTGGATCATGTTGACATATGGCTTCTTCTTTGCATGATACAGGTTTAACTTGCATTTGTGGATTGCACGGTGAACTGTGTTCACAGACAATGATTTCTGAAAGTGCCCATGCAGTGATTTGCAGTACAGAATCATGCCTGTTTTCAATGCAGCGCCGCCTGAGGGTCCGAAGGTCCAATTATGACCGTCGGCCTTGTCCCTTGCATACAGGGCTTTCTCCAGATTCCCTGAATCTTTTGATGATATTATGTACTGTAGATGGTGGGATATCCAAAGTCTTTGCAATTTTACGTTGAGGAACATTTTTCTAAAATTGTTCTACAGTTTTTTGCAGATTGGTGAACCTCTGCCCATCTTTGCTTCTGAGAGACTCTGCCTCCCTAAAATGCTCTTTTTATACCCAGTCATGTCAGTTAGTTGCAAATTGCTCCTCCAGCTGTTTTTTATTAGTATCAGTTACTTTTCCAGCCTTTTGTTGCCCCTGTCCCAACTTTTTTGAGATGCTTTGCTGCCATCAAGTTCTAAATGAGTTGATGCTTTTCATGAAAAATTGATGCTTTTTACCTTCAGCATCTGATATGTGTTCTATGTTCTATTTTGAATAAAATATGGGTCTACTAGATTTGCATTTCATTGGATTCTGTTTTTATTCACATTTATTTACTTTTTACACAGCATCCCAACTTTTTGGAATTGAGGTTGTACTTACTGGCTGTTTTGATTGGAAATTAACTACTGAATAAGTTCTCCTACCTGAACCAGTAGAGTCATAGGGCCGCTCTTGTCGATCTCCAGGATCTCTCCGTTTTTGGTGCCCACCAGGATGTGTCCATGGCCCAGAGTGATAGCTCGGATTGAGGGGTTGTCCTCCAGCAGCAGCCCTGCACACACAGCCAAACACACGCACACCCTTATACCACTGCTGCTCCAGCGTACATCAGTATTGCACTGCTGTATGAGGACCAAATGACATTAGTTACAGTCCAAAATCACACCTTTAGAGGATGGGGAGAGTGCAGCCCTCTTGATGGCGTAGGTCTTCAAACACCTCTCAAACATATCATCCCACAGCTCCACTATTCCATCCTTACCTCCCGTCACAAACCCCTACAGACATGGCAAAAAACATGACCATAAATATGACTCACAGTTCAGGCTATGTCATTGGACAGTCAAGTCCTTTTTAGAAACTTAAAGGGTGCATATCATGGAAAACTGAATTTTCCCTTGCTTTTCTGAATAAAAGTGATGCATGCAAACACTCTTTCATACCATTCCATTAATTCCCCAGTTCATACAGTCCACGTTCAGACAGCACGTTATGAATGCACTGTTTTTGCAATGTCACTAAACCATTTACATGCATCGGCTGTTCAGCCCACAGTAGTTTAGCCCCGCTCACTCAAGCTGAAGTCAGAAAGAGTATTTCAGCTCAAACTGTGTTTTCTGTAAGGCACAAAACAGGGCTGCCAAAAACAGCAGAGGTCATTTATATCTGTCAGTCTTAAAGGTACAATATGAAAAACAGCCTGTTTATTTCTAACAGATAAAGAGATGCAAAAAAAGGCACATGTAAAAATTAATGACGACTGTTTTGGTACATAAACCCACACAAGCTTTATGGATTTCTGGGATGACAATAAAATACAGGAAATATGTAGGATATGGGCCTTTCAAAGAAAATACAGGGTGATTCAAAAAGATTCATTTCAAAGCACCATATCTTGACAACCGTGAGGCGTCTAGGAACCAATCACATACCAATTGGAAGAGGGGGTTGCAGAGTTTCTGACTGTCACTGGAAGATGTCTCCCTTCAGTCTGCGAGGAGATGAGACCCCTGAGCAGAAAGCGTTTTGCGTTCTCCACTTCAATAAGAGTGAATCCGTCATAACTGTGCAGCGTGATTTTCATTGGCAGTGAACCTCCAACAGCTCAGAGCTTTCGTTGTTGGCTCCACAACACTGGATGGTCTCCGAAATAACACTGAAAGAGCCGCGAGTTCAGTGACGCCTGACATGCTCAATTGAGTCTGGGATGAATTTGACTATGGCGTTGATGTTGTCCGTACAGCTGGAGGAGGTTCATACTGAGCACTTTACATAATAAACTTTATGCTCACTTAAACCATTTACAGTTTACTGCTTTGTTCTGTAATGATTCACAAGTGAAATAAATCATTTTGATATCAGATGAATCTTTTTGAATCACCACATATTTTTCTTGTATTTTATTTTTTCCTCAGTATGTCCACTTACAAGGTGGGGTTGATAACATACCAAAACATTTATAATTACAAGGGCTTTTTTTAACTTCTCTTTAACCATTAGACTTAAAACAGTGTTTGTTACTGTGCCTAGTATTCTGACTGGCTGTCTGTGTACAAAATGTACACAACAGCCTGTTATGTTCTTACTTGTATCCTCAGGGATGTCAGGAAAAAAAATACATTTCAATCACTTCTTTCAGACATTTGGATCCCTTGGAAGGCTGCAGTGATACGACTCAGCCACAAACAGCACAAGTTGAATCATTCTGATCATCTTCACTGCAATAACTCTGCTACAGACTGTCTGCAGGATCAATACTCCTTATCACTTTGACACAAACTGGCCAGGATAAACCACTGTAGGTCGAATGGATGGTCATATGTAAATTTGTTCATAGTTGTGACATCACAACAATCTTGAATTCAAAACTGGCTATTTTTTGCAGCTTAGCTTTCATATGTTTGGACAGTACATCTTGAAATACTAGCAATTTTCACATAGCACAACAAACTCATACCTAAAAATTAGATTTTTACATGTTATGGGTCCTTTAAAAATGTGTCATGTTGTTGACTGACCTTGTCCAAAGAGCACATGGCAAACACTGGGCCATCGTGAGCTTTAATGGTCTTTATTAGTGAAGTGTCTTTCCAGATGTAAACATCGCCTGTTGTGGCCCCAGAAAACACCAGATCCTCGGAGCGACCGTAGCATGCTGACATCATGGTCTCCTGCTTGCCCAGGTTGCCAAATATTCCCCTTTTAAATGTCAAGCCTCCACCTAGATTAGGAAGTAATCATAGTCAGTAGGTAGATATGTTCTGAAAAATCAACAAGATCCATAACCATTTATTTATTAACAAGGCTATGAAGAAAATTAGGTTTTTACTGAACATGTAGTTACAGTTTTTGGGAAATTATTCTGTATGTTTTTAGTATTGAACCAACAAATTCTGCTGCGTTAGACTGCAGATCATGTAGTTCTGTCTGAAAAGCATTTTTATCTTAGTAACTCTTGTTACAAACCTCTTGGCATGCAAGCCCACAAAGAGTATTACGTTCTGCATTTAAGCTGATGAAATCATGTTATGGCATCTTGCCAGCCATTAAAAGATGTTTTATCTGCATGTTTAATCGAGTTGCTTATGTAGCCATTATAGTCAACTATATATCACTTTTCAGGAAGTTAGTTTGGGCTTCGTGTGTGACTTTGCTAGTGTTTTTGTGTATGTTTACTTTGTGTGGCCTTATCCTATTCTGACAGTTTATGCGACAACTTGTTTGCCAAAAAGTAACTTATTGTGAAGAACGCTATGGGGCAGGTTTACTAAAAAAGGCATTAATTACTGACAGTCTACAGACAGTTTGCGCTGGTGGGGGTGGCTAATTTAGCAGGTTATCTACTAAGAACTTGCATGCAAATCAGCAAAGGTGCAATTTTGTATTTAACATACAGAGGAGTCCAAAGGTCTGAGACCACATTGAAATTTAACAATTAAACAACAGAACGTTTTAGAATCTTGAAAAAATTCAAACAAACTTATGACAATTAAAATCAAAAGAAAAAATTCTGCACTATATTAGATTCCATCTATGGAAGCTCGTGTTCAAATCACTCCACGGTGGATTTAATATACTAATAAGGACTAATGGAGTCTATGCCAGACATTAAAGCGAAGGGGGGACATACTGTACCAAATACTAAGAATTTCTGGAATTCATGTCAAAATTCAAAGATCCTGCTTTCCATTTAAATTGTTATGCTGATAATATCATTTGTAATGAAAAACTTTGTATTAAATTAGAGAGGGATGATAAATAAAAGCATTTTCACCAGTGGTCTCACACTTTTGGACCCCACTGTATGACCAGCACAATATAAACCCCTGTGCTGCTCATGTTCTCTGTTTCTGGCCAAATTTTTACTTTATATGTCTAAAGTTTGGCTTTTCTATTTAATGACCTGTTTTCTCTATTTTTTAACTTAGTAAGTCTAAATAATGACTCATTATGTTGAAATACTTAGATCTGTGCAATATCTGAAAATAACTAGCACTAATTGTCTAGTAAAAAACTCATGATTATTGATTATACTAACATCATACTGATTCTTTTACTCAAGATTCTGACTTACTATGTTGAAGTAAATACTAATTCAAAATATTTAGGAAATAAGTCATTTGAAAAACATGTTAACCATAAGCTAAAAGTTGATAATCTGCTGCCAGAAACAAATGAAAACATTAACCGGGACCTTTTTTCAGCTGCCAGAAACAGGCTTCCAATTTGATAGATCAGCATCTCTGAACAACAACAGTGGCAACCAGGTTAGCGACAAGCTTTAAATAGACAGGCATTAAATAACGCACAGTCAGTTTTTAGGCTTGGTAAATAGGTAGTTGGAATAGGTAGATTATTCTCCAATCCAATTATTCTGCTCTTTGAGGGGGAAACACCTATAAATGCATTTGCAAAAAAGCGAAAGTGGAAAAATAGACTCCCCTTTGATCTTATTATAACCGTTAAAGGGCTGTTGTGCCTGTTTAGAAAATCGTGACAGTTTTTAACATCAAAATAGGGTTCGCACCCCATTTTGCACCCAAAATGTTAGTAGATCTACCACAATGACTATACGCGCTCGGTACCTGTGTGTTGCCAGAACTTTATATGCTTCAAGCCCACGGTGACCAGCTTGTCCATACGGAACGGGTTCCCCTTCACCACAAAGATCTTGTCTTTGTGTCCTCTATGGAGAAAAAAACAGACATCCAAAAGCATTTCATCTAACGCTATGCATATCTCAGAGGGATGGGGGTAGAGTGCATTTCCTACCTTGCTTTGGCCAGCTTCTCACCCTTCTTCCAGTCCCACATCACTATGGAGTGGCCTTCATCAATGCCCACCGACACCAAACTCTTCCCATCCGCTACAAGCAGCACAGCAACAACAAATGCAGCTCGTTAACAAGCTTGGTTATATATGATCATGCAAAACGAGCATGGTTATTCAAATATACACACATCCAAACGCATTTTAGTACTCTTTTGGAATTGTCTTGTAATTTTTAAATAAGTTTTGATTGAATGTAGAACTGCAAATAATGTAGAGACACAAGCTGATGCTGCTCACATTAAGCCAAATGGCAAAATCTTGCCAACCTGCCCACCCAGCAAAATCATCATAATCTCCTGAGCCAATGCTTACCCAGTTTTGTCAGTCAAGAACCCTCATTTTTACTTAGAACATAAATGCCATTATAAAACAAGTGTCTTGTGTTGTATGTATTATCGGTGCAGTGGGGTCGAATTGCACACCTGTGAACTCCAGTGCACACACTCCTCTCTGGTGCTGACCTCTCAGCAAGGACAAACACTTCAGGGTCTGAATGTCCCAAACATGAATTGCTGGGTCTCTCCCCACCTGACCACACATACAAACACAGTCAGCAACTCATCTCTTCTCTTACTATCAGTACTGCACATAATTTTATAGTTACTACAGTCCTGTGCATCCCTGTGTGAGAAGTCTATCCTGTTAATATTTACAGTCGAATGCAATACATATTGGAAAGAATATAACACAAAATATGAAATGCGCCATAACTTTTGCACAGGCTATATGTTATGTTTCCATTTTCTTCCAATATAAATGTGCAGACAGGTATTCTTGGTAGAGGATGTGTTAACTTATTTACACTTGGAAAATCAAAAGAACATGTCATTTGACCAGGTGCACCCAAACTTTTGACTGTATATGGTCTCAATAGACATACATATTTGAATTTTTATTTTTAATAGATCTATGGTCACGTGGGGTTATACTGAATAGGTATATCAAAAAGGAGGATGTTTTTCTCGGATGGCTATAAATGGGATGTGAAAGAGGACATAAGCACCTCTGGTCAAATTACATGCTTTAATTTGATTTTCTGACTGGACATAAGTAAACACATCATCTACAGAGAACACACTTCTGCACAATTACTGTTCATTTGCTGAATTTAACATACTGGGAAAAACCTAAACTAAACAATGCAAACCCTTTTACAAATAAAAGACAAAAACAAAAACAAACAAACAAACAAAACAATGACTAAACTACATGAGTACATTCTCTTGTGCCTCAACTGGTAGAGTATGTAGACAGCAATGCTAAGATCATGGGTTAGATTCCTAGCATTGCACATGCTAATAAAAATATTAGTATGTATTATATTTAATATATTTAAATGATCCCTGCAGTGTGCTTTGCTCTTGATATTACCGTCCGCTAAATAAAAATGCAAATGTAATTTTCAGGTAAATTCAACTCTAGTCTCATTCCGTCTAGTCAGACAGCAGTCAGTGTTCGACAGCATGACCTCACCTGACCAGTGGCTACATAATCCTTCAGCGGGTGGGCGGTGAGGCTGAGGATGTCATCGTCATGGCCCAGGTAAAAACGCTGAGTGTGCTGCTGTCTGTTATAGACCACACCCACAGCGGCTACGTGATATACCACCTCACCAGTCTGCGTGTAGAACAGATTATTCCTGCAGTCACAACCCCTATACCTGAAAACAGAGAGAAATAATTAAATAAGTACACAGTTAAGACCACCGACAGGACAAACACAAACATGAACAGTCCACTTACAAATGAAATGAACTAGAGTGAACAAAAAGAGAGCAACAATCAAACACAGGTACACTCAGATGGTTCTTCAAGGGTTCGCTAGTGAAGAAAATGGTTCTATTTAATACCACGAACACTCAAAGAACCCTTTGCATGATTAAAGGGTTCTTTGCTTCATGAAAGGGTTCTTCAGATTGATGGACAATGTGTTGTAGATGGTTCTACATAGAACCTCTTTGAAAATCGTTCTGTATAGCACCCAAAAAGGTTCCTTTTTGGTGCTAAATCTTCATTGATATGAATACTGAAAAGTTGACCCCTTAGGAATAAATGTAAATGTGTAGTTACCCTTTGACCCATAGACTTATTATTCACTGATTACTTGTTAACCTAACAGTAACTGGACACTAATAAATATATAGGTTGTGTAATTATGAGAGTAACTGAAGAGCAGGCCTGCAGTCGAGTTAACGTAAATATATATAATATATAGGCTAATATATATGCTTCAAACAAGAGTGCTGTGGGTGAACCATATAACATCCACAGAACAATAAATGCATGTCGACAAATATGTGGTAGTTACCCGTGGACAAACTGCAGCCGCAGCCCCTCGTCTGGAGCTTTCTGCCTCTTCAGAGAACCAACCAGTTTCTTCTTCAGCTGAGGGAGATCCTCCTTATACACCTGCGGCAAAACCGCATGAGCATCAACTTTAACAAACCCACACATACACAGAAAACAAACACGGACACAAACACTAAGAATGTAAAGGGCAACTGCGGGGTAGAGGCTGGTTGGCCAGTCAGCTGTGAAAATAATTAGAGCCCGAGGCTGTAGCTACTGAATCACAAAGTGCATTAAAGCGGCCACTGGAACTGGGAGAAATAAAATATTCAGCTGCATATGTAAAGCAGATGAAAGTGTTGCAGTCTTGCCTGGCGCTCGTAGTTCATCTGAGCCTCCTGTTCGATGTCTGAGTCCAGCTCAGGAACATCAGACAGGTCCGAGTCAGACTCGCCGCTGTTGGAGTCAGCGTAGCCCTCTGGGGAGAGAGCAGAAACGCCATTAAAAAAGTTCCTCAAAGTTTGTATAAGTTTTACAGCTTTAACCCTCAGTAGTCATGGTTATCAGAAGTAACAACAAAAGCAAGTTGTAGTTTTATGTGAATTGTTTCTAATTCGTAGTTCACTAAAACAAGCGCAGAAATTCTATCAAAGGGTGGATTCTACACTTTCAGTCTTCTGAGTGGCGCAAGCATGAAAAAAACACGTACATTTATGTTTGTTATTCACAGAATCCAGAGAGGCCATGAGGTAAATATAATGAGATAACAATGTTATTATCTTGAGATAACAAGTTAATTATCTTGTGATCTCAAGACAACTAACTCGTTATTTCAAGATAACTTATTAATTTGAGATAACAAGACAACTAACTTGTTATTTCAAGATAACTTATTATTTTGAGATAACAAGATAATTAACTCGTTATCTCAAGAAAACAATCCAGAAAGTTTTAACAACAGCTCATGGCCTCTCCGGACTTCCATAATTATTATACATTTGTATTATTTATATTATTTGTAACTTGTAGCTCATCAAACTAGTGGAGAAATTCTATTGGGCAGTTCTTTCAATTGATACATTAGTGGAACCTTCACACCTTTGAACAACCAAAGTTTTCAGTTTTTAACACTAGGAACTCGGGAAGAGGACAGAAGAGGGAGGAAAAATTTGGGTTTGGGTACAAACATTCTACAAAAACGCCCATAAACAGACTAGGGTACACGCAGATAAATTAAACGATAGAAATGGGCTTATACGTATCTTCTTTAACCTCTGACGTTCTGCTGTCACTGGTGTGGAGTGCAACCATGACAACGGAGCATCCATGCATCTCCAACTGGCTTAAATTGTTAGTTTCGGACACAAGGTGAATGACGCCATTAATATGCATGTGTTCAACGTTTTTCCAAATCGGACTCAGTTAGTCATGGTCAATTCCACCCACTAGCTAGGTCTCCCTATCACACAATGTTACCAAGTAGGGAAGGTGAAGGCTTCACATGCTTTCACTGAGTCAAATGAAGCCGCACTGCATGTTTCGAACTGCCGCTAACATCACTGGACAGCTCAGCGTGCTGGCTAGCATCACACTGAGTGATGAAGGGAGTGGTAAGAGTTGCCCACCCAGACATAGCATGGATAATTGTGCTGTCCGGCCTTGGATGGCTGTGGCATCGGCAAGAAGTGAACTTGCAAACTCCCGAATATTGAGCCTGACCTCATAAATTGCTGTTCCATAAAATTATTATGAATACGCTGCCTTATGCCTCACATTGTTTATGACAGTTCTAAGGAAAGACTGTGGCCTAAAACTTTTTTTTTAATTCATCTGTGGTGGAGAGGTACATGCAGGGTTTTGTAAGGCAAAATAGTCTCCAAAGAAAAAATATTTTTCAGACTGATCACTATTACCATTATCAACATTACATGTAAAAACTCAAGATGTGTTGATTTAGGGTTTGGATAGTAAAGAAAATGGCTATATTTGCATTGTAGACATTGCAAAATCCTCTCACTACCACTATAAAGAAACCTGAGTGGGTACGTTTCTCTTCAATTAACCATTTCACATCAAACCACCCTGAATAACTTTGTGTTAGTCACTGAATTATGCAGAACATTTGAAAAACAGTGGAATTCCTCTTATAGGCTCCAGCAACCCACCGCGACCCAGAAGGATAAGTGGTTTAGATGATGGATGGATGGATGGATGGATGGATGGATGGATGGATGGAATTCCTCTTTAATTATGTAGCACCATTTAAACATTATAACCTAATGATGATGCACTTCTATGGGTTACACAGGTCTTCATCAGACAAGTTGCTCAAACCAGAACTTCTTATTCACCTCCGTGTGAATATGATGGAGATGTTTAGGAAGCTGTAAAAATCTGCCTGTTAGTGTGATGGACCACAATACTGAGTGTTCACCTTGCAGGAGGGGTTCCAGTACACCATTCATCACCCCCTCAGGCAGAAACCTCCACTGGAACACAGAGTGGTCAGCTCCGCCTGTGCTCACCACCCACTGCAGGTCATTTGACCAGCGCACATTCGTCACATGGGCAGAATGACCTATGTACTTCTTAAATTTGGCAGCTGTGAATTGAGACAGAGAATGATTTAAAAATGGCTGTTGTCTGAGAACATCTGACACACCACGCATCAGAAAACCTGCACTGCAAAAAATCAGTGTCAAAAAATAAGACAAATAAAAGCAAATTCAAGAAAATACTTGAAGCAAAATCATCTGTCAATATGGTGAGAAAAGTTTATGTAATATGATTTCTTAAAATTGGAAAACGGATGCTTAAATTATCCTATAATCTAAGACATTGTGGCTAGATTTCATCTGATGATAATAATAATCTAAAATCGACAAAAACTAGCATATTAGTCGTATTTTAAGAATTACCCCATTTCTTGAAATGAGAATGCTTGACCATGCTTCAGGTCAACACTAGGTAAATGCTGCTTTTAAATAAACAAAAATATCTATAAAATGGTCTTACATAAAAGCTGTAAAGACATATTCTTGATGTAGTTCTCAAAACAAAGCATGAAATGTCAAAAAGTACACATATATGATAATACGCTGCTTTACTAACACCAAAAAAGATGAACAAACCTGCTTAACAAAAGCACTGAAATAAATAATTATACAAATAAATAAAGTGGTGCAAAAATGTAAATCTTAACAAGACATTAAGTTTTTAAAATTACAAATAGATCTTGCTTAAGATGAAGAGACTAGATTTGTACGCATCAGCTAGCTTGAAAAGCTTTGAAGCTCTCCATAATGAAAAAGGGGAATTTATTTTGAAATTTCTTCTTTCTTTCAAAACAATTTACTTACTTTACTTAAGACATCTGTCCAATTCAATTACTTAAAAAAGTGAATTTATTTTGAAATTTCTTCTTTTATAGTGAAGAGCTTTAAAAAGTTTAATTTAACTTTGAGGAGTCTGTATAATTAGCTAATTTGTCTAAATAAGATAACTGTACACAAAGTTTGTAAAAGCTAGCTGATTAATCTTCCAAATACAAATTTAATAAAAAAAAAATCTATTGTTAATTTTCAAGATTTTCTGGCTTGTTAAGATTTTGAAGTGTGCTGGTTCTTAGATTTCAAAATCATCCCCTGAAGGAAATAAACAGTCTTCAGACCTTTTTTGAGACAGGGGAATCTGAAAAGCTTGACTAGGCCGAAGTCGTCCCCCGTCACCAGCACGGCGCTGCTGTAGTTGGCGTCTACAGAGTTAATGCCGTTGACATTGGAGTACTTGGGCCAGATGCCATTGACCTCTGGCCCAAAAACACTAGTCCAGGTCATCCAGTGAATCCCTTTGGCCTCCTCCTTAGGAAGGAACTTCCCAGCTATGGAGGCAAAAGAACAAGACATACAGGGTTTCTTCCTCTTCCTCTAAACAACTGCTGTAATGACAAACTGTTAACTGCTAATACATGATAACACAAACCCCACTCTGATAAATCTAGTGTACCTGGCATCCTGTAAAAGAGTCTCTCCCCGGCGCCGTCATTGGTTTGCAAGAAGCGGCTGTCCACAGACCAGTCCAGATGGGTGATGAAGCAGGTGGATTTGTTACACTCACCCACCTTCTTATAGCGCTGAGCTACAGCGTAGATGTCCACCAGGCCATCATTGGACCCCACCGCCAGGTAGGAGCCATCAGGAGAGAACTTCAGCTCGTGAATCACCTCCTTCCTGTCTTTAATGTGCACTACCTCCGTCATGTCTCTGAGACAACATGTAAAAGCATTTTGTTTTTATTAGGCTAACCAAATTTAGCAACTTGAAGTCCTGCACTGAGTCGTGTGTTGATTCTTTTACCTGACTCGAAGCACCGTGAAGGAGCCATCCTTCATGCCCAGTGCAAGCTGAGAGCCATCATTGTTGAAAGACACGCTGCGGACAGCCTCCTCCATGTTACAGCGAGCTATTAGCGTGTGATCAGCCAGGCTCCAAAGCCTGGGACATGAGAATATATCATGCTGGTTTAAATGAAAAGGAAAGGTGCTTAAATATTCCTAAATTTTTCCTAGGAATGTCCACCTGACACTTTTACTCTGATATCCTTATGAATAGTGTCTGTCCAGAATGTGCTTTCAACTGTTCCATCCATTTCCAACTGTTCAAATAATATGTCCATAGCAAGAGCTTCAGTTTGGTTACCTGGGCTTCAAGTGTGAGGTGCAAGTCCAAGATGGTCTCAAAAGCCTTCACCATATATATATATATATATATATATATATATATATATATATATATATATATATATATATATATGTCCTGTTTTTTTATTGTCCAGCTTTCACATCCATAGAACCACAGAGAAGACAAAAGACAATTCTGTTTGTTCATAATTCATAACTTTTGGTTTGAATTTTATACACCAATAATTGTAGTTATATCTCATTTGTACTCATAACCCAGAATACAATACACATTGTAGTACAGAGGGAAGCACCACCCAGAATTGTTTGCAATTTGTTGTTTTTTTTATTTCTTATTTTTTTATTTTTTTATCAGTTCTCTTCTTATAAAGGCTTTAAATGTAGGTTTGAATACATTTTACATGTTCTTGTTAAGTTAATCAACTGCTGGGATATATTTAAGTGAGGGATAATTTTTACAGCTGTGCAAGATTTTGCCATTATTGTCATGAGATCATCTAAACGCTTGGTTTGTCAGTATCAGCTGAAACATAAGTCAGTCTCTCTCTGAATGCACCAAGTGCGAAATATCTATGCATTTAAATTTTTTGTAGGCTAGTTCAAACAGAAGGACTGCTATCTTTACCACTGATGGAGAAGATGTGGAAATGGTGAAAAGCTTTAGCCTTTTCAGATCAATTATTAAGAACAGAGGATCCAGCACCTCAGATTGGCACTCGGCCGAACAAGGATGAAGGAGCTTGAAAGGATCTTCAAAAGCAACAATTTGTCTCTACACACAAAGATTGGAACTGTCCAGGCTGTGGTCTTCTCTGAGGTTCTTTATGGATGTAAAAGCTGGACAGTAAACAAGCGAGTCAGGGAAAAATATTGATGCCTTCGAACTTTGGCGTTGGCGAAGAGTACCTTGGACGGCAAAGAAAACAAACAAATGGATCTGCCAACAAATCAAGCCAAACCTCTTACTCCAAGTCCAGATAATCAAACTGAAGCGCTATTATTTTGGACATGTTCTGAGATACAACAATTCACTGGAAAAGACCATTAGGCTTGGAAGAGCTGAAGGTAAATGAGGAAGAGGACGACCAGCGAAAATGAGTGGATACAATTAGAGGGTTCATGAACCAGCCATTCAGAAGCCTAAAGTTCTGGAGAAACACTATTCATATGGTCGCTAGGAGCCGGAAATGATTTGGGGGCTCTTAATAATAATAAATGAAAGTGGTCTAGATTAACTGCTAGCAGGACATCCCTATTTTTAACAGTAATGAGTTAGACTTCCTTGACTCCTCCCAACATCCAACCACAGTGTTTTATATTCAATGTAACAAACTTTTAATTAAAAACATGCTTATTTTTTTCTCTACAAGTTTTCAAACTTCAAATCCACTTTCAAATGAAATCCACTTTATAATGAAATCCACTGACCGGACAGATCGGTCGTCGCTACCCGTGACTGCAATTGGCTGTTTGGGGTGCAAGTCGAGCGCCCACAGCTCCCCCTCCGAGTGACCTTGCATGACCAGCAGAGGCTTATCCCTGTCCCGCACCATCACCTCGAAAATCTCACTGTCCTGCGTCCCGGCCAGGATACGGTCAGCCTTCCAACACACGCTACGGATAGAGAGACCTGAGGGACAAGGAGAGCGAGAGAAAGAGAGAGAGATATAGGAGAGTAAAAGGACAAGAATGCACTAGAGAAATGCCAAAGGAATAAGAGCATTAAACGGCCACAGGAACCAAACGTCATGAAGCGTAAAGCAACTAGAACAGCCCTAAAATGCTGAGCACAAATTAGCAACTTCAGCTAGAGCCCCTCTAAAAATGACAGACCAAGTACAGAAATGAAAAGCATGTGAAAGCAAGTCTAAGCAGGCATGAGGGAATTTAAAAAAAGAGAACGGCTCCATTAAAGCAGTTGCTTTATCCGTACCTAGCAATTACTCATATTCAGAGACATATGGGTTGGGGGAGAGAGAGAGAGAGGGGAGCAGAATGACTCAGTGATCACAGGCTAAAGTCACTGCAGCTCCTAAGAGACACCAAGCCAACAATAAGTCATCATGTTATCTTCACAAAAACTTGCTTTAACGTAAAGGCCAAGGCTTGGTCCTGACGAACGGTGCTACTGATCTGTACGCATTAAAACCTTCAGTGTGCACCTCTCTCGTGCAGTCTGGTGATAAAAAGGCGCCCCCCTACTGCTTTTTTCTGCAGTTCCTGGTTAGGGCTTTGAGGGATTAATGAGATTAAAAGCACAGGGGAAGTGTACGGAGGGCATTTGGGCTCTACACTCTGCTGGCTCATTTAGATACTGAGAGGCTTTATTCAAGCTGACCGGATCTTGTGTATGTGGGTTTTTTTTAATTCATCCGAGGACAGTCTCTGCTTTAAGTGCTCTATATGCTGCTGTATTCTCTTACGTTTCATTCTGGGCCAAAAATACTTGATTACCCTACAGTTTATTTATTTATTTTAACCTTTTTTTTTTTTTGTGAAAATCAGTACTAAGGGATTTATATTTGCCAAACATGTGGCGGCTCCAGCTAGGATAAGCCCTTTTGGTGTTGCCACCGACGAATCATTTCCAGGCATTAATCTAGGTCAAGTGAAGGAAATCTGGAAATACAAACACGATTTGAATCTATCTGAAGTTTTTTTTTTGTCTGGATTTCGGCAGTCATCGGGGACAAACAGAGGGATTTACCCTTGTATCCCTGTTCTGCCTCTCTGAGGTCAATCTTGGTGATGGGTTTGAAGTCCACGTCCCAAAGTCTCACACATCCGTCCCGACCCCCAGTGGCGAAGCCCTCCTCACAGGCGTGCATGCTAAAGATCCCAGCCTGCGGAAAGAGAACACATTAGATTCAGTCCTGATAGACCAGGGCTGTTATCTAGAAAGTGATTCTCAAGAATTTTGTATTTTTTGTAATTTTTTTGCAATTTTCAAAACAGCACACACGCCTAGATTTTTGCTAACTCGTTTTAAGAATTGCTTTCATAAAAGCTTCCACAGCAACAATATCATGCTGTCACTCTAAGCTTGGATTATTGTGATTGTTAGCCAACTACTCTAAAATGTGTCCATACATGGAGTGCTGATTTGCTGAAGGAGTATTAGAACCACTATTACAGAGTGGATGTCCACTTCCGTCCTGCAGGGCCACGGTGCATCATAGTTTTGGTGATTTCCTTGCTCGAACACACCTACTAAACATGCTCTACATTCTGATTCTGAAAATTAAAGGCATCGCCAGATTGCCCTCCACTCTTGCCCTCTGGGAAATTCCTGTCACCTCACTGAAGGGCACTCTGATTCTCATAAGAGCTGAGGAAAGCTTCTACCACCAGCCCCTAGTACCCCTGATCAGTCTCGGCCCAGACTAACCTCGTAACAATAACGTTTGGGGACAACTGTGAGAAATTTTGGGATAAATGTGGGTGGGAATGTAGACTTATTAGGGTGCCAGCTAACTGAGAGTGAAATGTCTAAACCAATCCAACACCTCATGAAGCTGGAGCTCAAAGTAGGGGGAGATGGTGCCCTCACCAACACTGCCTGATGGACAACAAGCATGTTGTTAGCCCACGGATGTAACTAAAGTTAGCTCACTACATAAAAGTAAACATTACATCTTGCAAATAAAAAACAACTTTGTTATATACTGTAGCATTTTGCTAGCCAGCTTGTTTTGCTTGTGTTAATGACAGTACCCTGGACGTTAAAAGAGCAGAGACTAGATGATTGTGGGGGTGGGTTTTATAGGGAAGGGGCGTCCCCCCTTAGCAGCAAATGTTGCCAGACTCCAGACATATATTCTCGTTATAAATTCACATCTGGCAGCTGAAAATAACTCTCAATTTGCCATAAAACAGGATCTAAGAAACTGTAAACTCCAGGCATCGCCATATCCGGAGATGCACTCATCTTAAACCTACCATGAAGAGTTACCCTCATCAACTATGCAGATTGCAAATGATTTCAGTAAAACATAAACTCTTGAAACTAAAGGAAACACTAGCCAACATTAACTAACGTCAGCTCACTTTACCCTTGGGTTACAACCTCGGCCAGGAAAAATTCCTGGAAAAATTGACCAGCGGTTTGATTTTTGTGCTAACTTCATTGTTGCTTACAATGTGGTCTAAGGTAGACAGATGTTACAGAACCTAATGTTCTCAGTTAATGCTTTTGCAGTGCACCTTTACAGAATAGCTGTCCCTATGCTGAGGGTATACAAATGCTTTCATTGGATAAAATCACCCTTGGACCACCCAGATTATCCTGCATACAAGGTTTAACTAGTTTTCAATCTCCTCAAACTGATTTTAAATGGATAGAGTCTTTATTTTGGAAAATCAACTAAGATAAATATTACAAACACTTTAGAGAAAAGAAGGAATGACTATGCCTAATATAAAATTATGTGGTTGAAAATGTTGCTGCTGATACTTTGCTAAATTAAAATTATTTACTAAACTAATGTACAATGGATAACGAAAAAAGAAATAAAGAAAAAAAAAGTAAATTGGACTGTGAGGGAAAAATGAGTAAAGAAATGTGTCACTTTGTCTAACACTGTGCTTAACTACCAGTAGGCTGCCCAGACAACGCTGAGCAAAAAGCCAGTGGGCCGCCAGCTTTGCTATCAGTGGCCTGCCGTCCTCTTGCTATCTGGGAATTTACTTTAGAGAGAGAAGTGTAAGTGTAGCTGACCATTAGCAAGTATATTTAAGTTACCTACCCAGCATGCAAACGGTTAGGATGGCAATCTATCCTGACTTCACATCTGTTTTTGTTTGAGTGGGTTAAACCTACCATGCACCACGTTTCCTTCACAAAGCTAGCTTCCCTTACCCTGATGGCGGAGTGGTCTGCTAGTTAGTTGGCTAAATGTAGCTTGGCTGTAATCAAGTTTAGTTAACCCTTTAAATGGCTAGCGCTGACCGGTGGTATAAGCTAAGAATAGCTCAACCAGATTGCACTGAAGTCCCTGTAGATACTGAACAATAAGCCTTAGTGTGTAATAAGCCTGGGATATTAAGGGGTTAAAACAGCTCCCAAGCTGCCTGATAACTAACTAATGAGTTGAACCAGGTGTGTTTGCGCAGGGGAGACTACCAAACTGTGGTGGACTAAGGCTCTCCAGAATCAAAGCTGGACAGACACCCATGGTATAGAGCAGGAATGGAGCAGCGAACGCACCCCATGAGCAGCCTGCACGGTCCGTACTAGGTTCAGCCCCTTCCACACGTAGATGTCTCCATTCAGAGCCCCCGAGTATGTCACCTCATCTTTTGCTGTGGCCAAGCACAGGATGGTCTGCAGGTCCCCTGTCTTACCGAAGATTCCCCTTTTAGGTGTCAGTGCGTTCCCACATAACGTCCAGAACTAAGACAGAAATAGAAAGAAAACCGAATAAGAGTCCATAATGTTCCTTGCCACTTCCTCTGTGATTAGATGTACATATTGTTGCTGTTGCAATAAAACCTCTTATCCCCAAAACAGTAACTTTTCAGTGGAAGGAATGAAGTGAGATGTTTTTCCAAGTAATTGTAGACCATTTCAATTGTTCCACTCATTGTGGACAGCTGACATTTTTTAATTCTGTAAAAAAAAATGAAAAACTACAAAAATGAGTTATGAGCGACGGTATGCACATATTGCAATGTACATAATGTATTCACTGTACAGTGCACGTCATCCTCCTAAGTGCTTAAAATGTAACTGTATTTAAAGGGACATTCCAGCCTTAAACTACCATTTAATATGTTATTTACTATGTTATGTAATATTCTGCAGTGCAGCACTGCATCCCTCACCCTCAACAGTTTGACAGAATTCACGATGTTGAATATTTTTTGTGTTTTAGTCCATCAACTTTCTGTCACTACAATACCCAGCATGCATTACACAAATAGGTCACACAATCACTGGGAATCGCTATGACGCACAACAAATCCTGACTTGTCGCCAATGATCTAGAGACTAATTAAGACGTCTGTAGTGTGCAACTTTTTTCTTTGTTACAGACATAATTCAATTGATAATTCAAAGCCCAGAAGTCTTTCAGAATTTGCCTCCACCTTCAAGATACTTCAAGATACAAAAAAAAAAGGGTTAAAATATAAAGGCTTTTACTGATGGTTCTGGAGTCAAGATTTAAACCCTATAGAGAATATTTGGTCAAACACTAAACTCAAACTAGCCTGACAATTGTTTGAAACCATCAATGCTGAGTGGAACAATACTGACCCTTGTGTGGTGTTGGGGTCTGTGGGACCCACTTTTACTGTTTACCAAAAGAAAAAATGATGCAATTTATTATTATTTCAACCTCAGATTCTTGGCCTTTGCTCATTTTCTGTGAAGAACATATAAAATAACACATTTTCAGTGTCTTCACTCTGTTCACCCCCCACACATTCATATTACACATGTGGTGTTGGGGTGAACCAGCGGGGAATAAAAGTGTGGAGGTGCTGTGTCCTTCACTCTGTTCTCCTCCTACATGGCCTGCTGTTAGTGGGTGTGTGTGTGAGGGTGGACAACATGTACAGGCTGCTGACTGGCTGCAGCTGCTAAAGGAGAACCTTACACCAGTCACTTGTGATATTTTAAACATCTGGTATTTGTACATAAATTGTTGTGGCTGTATTGATTTAAAAAAGCAATAATGTGGTGGGTCCAGCAGACCACTGAGTATCAAACACATCAACACCACACAAGAGTTAATGCTGTCTATTGGAATTTTTCTGACATCAACACCCAGAGAAATTCCCTGTACATCTTGTACCGCAAATAAAAGATTTTGATGCTTATTCTGATTTTTAAAACAACAGGGAAAACATACAAGTTTCACATTAGAGATAAACCTTCAGAAGTTAATTGGACTTTTCCCTGGGCATTTATTCAAAGTCAAATTGATTCGAGCGAGGCTTTCACGCAGCGAGTCTTGAAGTTATCAGCAAAATGCTTTCTGACAAATGCACCGCTGAAACGGGGCTTTGCCGCTTTTACAAGCCCTTATCTGAAGCGGACAGGAGCAATAATCGAGCTCGTTAGATTCCATCTTTCTCTGTCAGCTTTTCCCATCGGTAATTGCTTTGAGGCGAGGAGAGGAATAATTAGGTAGAGGGGAAGTAGACGAAGGCGAAGGCGTACAGCGACGCTCCCGCACGACTTTTCAGAAACTTGTAGGCGTCACCTGCCAAGTTCAAAAGGAAGTTTGTGTCGGGGGAGAGAGAGCGTAGAGTCGACTCACTTTGATGTGCTTCACTCCGCAGCTCACCAGCCTGTGCGGCAGGAACGGATCCCAGGATATATCAAAGATCTGAAACAGGCAGAAAAAGGCCTCTGTTTAGACAGGCCATCAGACTCCACACAAACACCCATTACATAGCTCAGCTTCTCCTTTGAGTTTAAAAAGCACACAATTATATCAGAACAGATCTGTTCACATCCGCCTGAACCGATGCTGTTTTCCAGCAAACGATCACATCACATACTGGTAGTGCCTTTAAACCTGTGACTATGATCAGGGAAAAAGAGGAAAGACTGATTTGAGCTTTCCAAGCACAGCCCCTCACTGTGACTCCATCACTTCAACAGAGCTCCTGCATTAATGGCTTATAGAAGGTGGAGAAGGTTGTCATAATAACGCTCCTTATCAAAAGTTCCCTGCCTTTGTTCTACAGAGGGCTGTCAGTGCTTTAGGCTTACAGGCTGGGAAAGAAAGAGGGAGGAAATGATGGAGAGTAAGTGAAAGATAGGCAGAGAGAAAAACACTAAAATAAAGACAGAGGAGCCAAAGAGATAGACAGGAAGAGACAGAGAGAGAGAGAGAGAGAGAGAGAGAGAGAGAGAGAGAGAGAGAAAGACAGAGAGAGAGAAATACAGAGAGAGAGAGAGAGAACAAGACACACAGATAGAGATAAAGAAAGAGAGTGCATGCGCTTCAAGGCCATCCAGGCTGCTGTATCACCAGAAGGCACATTACATAATATACAGTACTGTGAAAAAGTCAGAGACCACCCTTTCGTTTATTTCATTTTCAGTCAAAACATATTTTTCACTTTTGTGTGTCTGGATGAAAAGCAGAAAGCATGTTTCTGACTGAAGATCGCAGAGAAGCATCAGCAATTAAATATAATATCTAATGTTATTTAGTCGACGCTTTGCTTTTATTACAGATTTTGTTCTTTTTATTCAGATTCTGTTCAGTCTTTGGCTGCGCTGTCTGCTTCTCATGAGCCAAGTACTTCCAATCACAGATTTAGACTCATCAGTCCAAAAATCCTTACTCTGCATCTCACATGTCCAGTTTCATTGTTTTAGTACAAAATTTTCTTCGTTTTTGTTTTTTACCTTTTCTCCATAAGGGCTTCTTAACAGCTACACATCCTTTCAGACACACTGGCTTCTCACAGTGGAAAGATGAACAGAAACATCTGTGGATTTTTCAGATCTGAAGTAAGAGTGGAGCTTGACTTTCTCCTCTCTTCCTTATGAAAGTGGATATTTTATATCTAATCTCCTCAGAAATATCTGCTTTAGCCTTTTTAGATGCACATGAGAAAGAAATTTAAAGGCAGCTGAGGTGAGTCTGGGCAGTTGCTTGTGTGACTGTTAGTGTCAGTTTAAAGGGTAACATAATGTGAGTGGGAACAGCTGTAAGTGGTTGGTTTTTTAAGAGTTAAAGAGGCAGTACGTGCATAAAAGCAAAGAGCAGATCAATTAAATACTGATAGATTTGATACTGTACTTAATGTTAGAGGCTTTTGTGTCATTCCCCATTAAACACATGCTTCCTGCTTTTTTCTGACACTGAAAAATGAATAACTTGTACTTAATGGCCAATTTGGAAATGAAATAAGTGAAAGAGTGTTATGACTTTTGCACAGTACTGTACGTCTGTCTGTATAGTAAGTTAACGTAATCTGTGAAATGTTTATATCCAAGGTGCTTATACAGGTTACTGGAATTTAAAGTGTAAGTATTCATGCATGCAACAGTTTTTTTACCCACTAAGAAAACACATTATTTATCTTCAGCTCTACAGCACTGAATTTTCCTGGTTGCTCTATTGGTGTTTCTGTCTCAACATTGACAGGACAATCAATCAGATAACAGAAAAGCTGATCATCACAGCCTTACCCTGTCAGAATGCCCCGTGGCCGTAGCCAAGACTCGCCCTTTCTTCCAGTCCCAAACACACACAGTGTTTTTGGCATCGAGACCAACAGACACCAGACGCTGGATAAGAGACAGACAAACCAGGAACATGGTCAAATACCACACAGAATAATTTAGACAACGTATTGTCTACAAAACATTATAATAGAAGCTGAATGAATTCTTGTTGGTTAAAGTTTATGCCAAACACATCAATAGCACTTTGTGAAAATGAAGTTTGCTTGTAAATGAAGCTATAAATTTGCAGTTAATTTATGGGACTAGTTTCAAAGACTTAATGAGTTGGCAACTAATTTAATAGTCGATTAGTTGGTGACGTCATCACACGTTCCTAACTAGGAATGTTTTGACCTGACCACTTACTGGAGAGCTGACAAAAGCGTGATGTCAGCCTCAAGGACAAAATCCTCAAAAGTGTGGGAGCATTTCACGCTAAATTCAGAAAAAAGGCTCTGAGTTGTGCCATTTGTAAAGCCGACCTCAGCTGGCCTGGGAGCACATCCTCCATGATTGAGCATCTGAAGAGGAAACATGTCGGCGCACTGGATGAAGAAGATTCATCTCAGTGGACAGTTGTGCTATTTAGCTAATGTTAATGTTAAAAGTCATCTTACTTCATGTTGTGATGTTTTCTGGAGTCGTTAATGGAATTGGAACAGAGAAGAGAGTAACTATTATTCATGGCGACCCTGTTTCCTTTCCAGATAACGGTTACAGTTTTAAATACTGCATTGTTGTCTTAACATTCAGGCCACAGATGTGTTCATGTGCAGCAAACACAGGAGAACGTTTGCCACCATTCGCTAACAGTTTCAGGAGGTAGTTGTACGCAAACATACAGGGCAGCTGGACGAAGGGTTACCGCTGAAATGAAATGTTTACACAAAAACATTCACATTTAACTGTTATAGCAAACAAGATGGTCACATATATTCTCCACTTTCCCCTCCACTCTATCAGAGCGTGTCTTCTCTGCTGAGGGGAGTATCTGCTCTCAGAGGAGAGTGAGTCTCTTACAAGAGCACGCAGAGATGCTGACTTTCCTCTGTTTCAATTAAGACCTAAGATTGTAGAATTTAGTTGCTACAGAGTTTAGACAGACAGCAGAGCACAGAGCACAGACCGCACTGTCTAAATTTAACATTAACATTTAAATTATATTGGTTTTTTATTTACCTCATTAAGGGAAATCTGATTTAGCTTTGATAGATTTACTGATGCTACTTTGCACATCCATGGTTTTAAAGTTTGACGGGAAAAATTCTGTATTAGCAGGAAAGTTCAATAAAACTGTGAATTTTTGAAGAAGTTATTCATCTTTATTGTCTTCATTGTAAGTCAGCAAATGCATAAAACAACCTCAAGCTATATTTAAAAGCTGATCGCTACATAAGAGTTATTTGGTCATTTAGTGATTCATAATCTGTATAATTAATTATTACTTCCAAAAATGGATACATTTTTCAACTATAAAATTAGGCATTTGTTGCAGCCCTAAAGAACAGCCTTAAGACTGTCAAGATTTTATCTGTCTCATCCTTAGACCTGCACTGTTAGAATGTAGAAAAATTCAGTAACTGCCCATTTACAAGTGAGTTTCAAGTCAACAGTGTTTCTGCTCTTTGTTTAACTATAGGGATTTGAAATGATCGCCTGTGGTAATCAAGAGTACAACGCGACACAGAACACAGAGATTAGGCTGAATAATGCTGGAGTATTAGTTTAACAGATATTAATTGGCTGATGGGTTAAAGATGCACCGATATTTCGTGCTTTACTTGAGGCAAAGTGCTAAAGCAACTCAATGAGCACTGGAAAAATCGAACACTCACCTGCCCATCAGCGTCAAAAGCCAAACAGGCCACGCCGTGTGTGTGGACATCTCTCAGGATGGATACGGTGGTCAGTGTGTATGAGTCCCACACACAGATATACGGATCCTTCCCCACCTGACCAGTAGCCACTTGAATCTTATCAGGGTGCAGAGCGAGACTGCCACAAAAGAAGACAAAATTATTTTAATGCAGGGAGAATTTTCAATCATTTTTAGCGAAAAGATCTCCAACTTTTGCATTTGTGTCTTCAGACAGAGACTAACATGAATAAGAGACAGAAAGAGACATCTGGCCTGAATTAAACTGCCTTTTTAGAATCGGCCACGGTTAATCAGTTGTACGCTGACTGACCACTTTATTTGAAAGCCCCACCTTGTAGGCGCCCAGTCAGAGACTGTGGCCCATCTGTTGCACAGTTTGTGCTAGCCGTCCTTTAGCCCTTCATCAACGGTCAGTTTCTGACCACACAGCCGCTCTTGGCAAAATATTTTTGGATATTTAAAAACTCAAGATGCACTCAAAAAAGCACCACACCATGCCAATATGATGTCACTGTTACTGCTGTGTTGAAAAAGGTCCAAATAATACCAACAGCAGTCCTGTGATCAGACACTGACCAATGATGAATAGGGTAGTGGGTGGTGGACAAACTGTTCGGCAACAGGTGAAACAGGGCATCCGTATGTCATTATAAAGCTGTGTTTAGCGGATTTTACACAAGGGCGAGTTATTAGCGCTCAGGTTTTCTGAAATTCACTGAAAGAGAGGAAACCAACACCAGCAGAATCTAAATTTCATATATATATATGTAACGTTAAATTAAATGTTTGCTGTTACAATTTGCATATATATGAAGTAAAAGTGGATATGAAATAAAAGGTTGTGTTTAAATAGGTCTAGATTGAAGAGATCGGCAGATAACAGGCTATCAGACTTCTCCAATAATACTAAACTGCAACATACAAATCTTAAATGCCCGTTTTAAGTTTCACATGTTTCAAATGTCTGTATTTAAGTAGAGCCAGTCTGACTTTTAAAATCTGCGTGGGAACAAATGTACAACATCGTTAGCTTTGCACTAACAAAACTGAAAATCCCATAGACTAGCACTAGTGGAAATTAGCTTTACCGTAGCAATGGATTTATGCATTAAATACTGCTACATAATCACAAGTTTGTTAAAGATTTCTCAAAAAGTGGCATTAAAAATGACTTAAAAGGCATTTAATTTTGCTAATGCCCACAGATACCCTGATAATGCTAATGATAATGAATTCGATATTCAAATTCTCTTACAGTTCTCTCACATTCAGACAGAGAGCATGATTTACACATTTTTATGCATTTTGTACCACACACATATATATATATATATATATATATATATATATATATATATGTATTAGTTCACACATTTTTCTTCTCTGTCTTTATATGTAAAATATTTTAGAATCTGTGAACTGCTTTATAAAGTTATTATTTCATTAAGGCCATTTTTTTATTGTTTGACCTGAAAAAAAACACAGATTACTTGATTAATTTATAAATTACAAAATTATTAATATAATAAATAGTGACTATAATACTATAGACTGGATCTAATGGGCAGGCAGAAATCATAAAGTGCCCAGTAAGTAGAGGTAAAATGTAAACTGGATAATGAGTGTATCGCAACCTAGTGGCAAAAAGAAAGAAAGAAAGAAAACAACTCAGCACAATAGATTTAATTACGGAATTACCATTTAACCACATGGAGGGTGATAAACATAATGGGAGAGAGAGGGAAGTGGGGGAACCAGGCACAGCGAGCCCACAGAGAGGCAGGAAAACAATGGAGCTGTTATCAATGCAGGGAGCCACAGCAGGATAATATCAGCAGATAGAATAGCAGCCTCTCCATCTTCCCTGACAGCGCCATGTATTACGGCTTTTCATCACGGAGGTCTCTGAGGAGGGGGAGTGGAGGTCTATCAGCCTCCATACAGCAAAGGCTCACCAGACACACACTGTGAAGACTCACTGCTCAAGGACATCACAACATTAAAGCGCTGCTAAAAGGATGTGCAGCTCTACAGGTGCATGAAAAAGAATATTCAATGAATATTAATGAGTATTTATGGTCCCTGAGCTGGTTATCTGGTAAACGCATTGCTCAGGATCATAAAGTTGGGATCTCAGGAGGACCATACCCTACATGTGGCCAGGGGGTCTCCAGAACACATTTTCTAATGAGGGTCTTTAATATGGAGTGGTTGGATCTTGAAGTGTAACACAGCCAATTTTAAACAGTACAATCCAAAAAAAAAAAACCCTTATTAATATTACATCTTAGCTGGTTAATATTTTTCTGTAGTTTCTACTTAAGACATAACAGATGAAATCAATACAAATTGCAAATATCAAAATAAATGAGAGTATCTTCTTTTTTTGCTCTCATTTCGCAATTTCTGTCTATATAGCTAAATAATTACCAGGTCTGCTTCATAAAGAAATTCTACTCTTCTAACAAGAAGGTCCAGTTAGAGAAAATATCCTCGAGCAAAAGTCTTGAACATCATAATGTCTAGCTTGCATCATGATCCAGTGCCATATACTGTAAACTAATACAGGCTAATAAGTAGCCTAGTAGGTATATCAACATCCTATGCAGTCAACAACTGAATATCAAATCAAATAAAGTACAATTTAGTAATATTTCAACAATATTTATTGCCAGTTTTCTCTTTTTAGAGCTCGCCATGTGAAATAACTTCCCTCTGACTCACTTTCTTCTCCGACTGCCGTTTCTCACCCCGTCCCTCCCCTGTGTGTGCATCACTCAGTCGAGTCTCAGTGCTCATCGTAATACACAGGTCTGATTGGCCGAGTAGTGTCACGTGTGATATTTACAATGCATGCGATTGGTCTGTGAGTCTCCCGGGCTGCTAAACCGTTACTGTAAAGGCTAGAAAAGTTGCGCAGATTAAAATAGGCCCACCTGGTCGAAATTAAATAATTCTCCATAGTTTTTCAGTTGTAGGTCCAGGTCTGCATAAGACAGCGTCTGGGTCTAGACTCGGACCGCGGTTCGCCTATTAGTGACCTCTGAACTAGACACTGTTAAGATAAACTAACTTTAGCTGGCCTGAGTACAAAAGGTTTATCTGTAAAACACTGATGCTTTTGCAGCTCATGCTAACAAATATTCAATCAGTTATATTTACCCTTATGTTAATATTAAAATATGGCTAACTTTAGAGCCAGGTTACTTTAATAAACCTAACATTTAAGGTTAATCTGTGTCTGAATTAAAGCTGTGTCTAAAGTTATTATACAGCCCTCACCTTATTAACAACAGACTAAAATAAGGCTGCAACAAACAGCCTTTTAGATAAAATTCAATAAAATCAACACGTAATACATTTGAAAACAAAAAAGCCATTTGAAAAACTGATACATTACTTGTTTTTATGAAACCACACACTTTCCTCATAATTTTATTCAGTCTTTTTGTTAAAGGTGTTTTTCCTCTACTCAAACTAAATGCTAGCTAAATGCTAAATGCTAACTAAATGCAACTCAAAGCATATCACACACAAACAGTGAATTATGGCTAACATTTCTCCGAGTCAGATGGTCCTTTCCTGTCAAAGAATGGTATCAGTAGTCAGAGGTTGGACTGTAGCGACTCCGTAATCTGAGGCAATAATGTTGTTCTTAATCACCCAGTTGAGTCCAAATGCTTTTCCGGCTAATCTGGATTGCTTGCTAGCTGCTATCCACTGCATCTGTTTCCGAGAATAAACGACAGCGTGCTGGCGAGTGAGTCGTCCATCCAGATCAGAAAGACACTTACTCAGACTGCAAGGGCGATAAAACAAACACAGCTGGGTTTACTGTTAACTGCGTTTACTGAGTTTACATACTTGGTTTTAAGCAGCTTTGAAAGTTTTCAAACTTTCAAAACTTGAAAAATCTATACAGAATGTAAAATAAGTTTGAATATTCAATAGCATATTCAAAAATAACAGTATTCGACAGCTGCAGCCCTAATTTGAATTTACAACCTCTCCCACCGTTAGGGTGCTGTTTCTCTCTGCAGCAGCAGCAGTTAAACTACCCAGTGTGCAACTCATGCCTGGAATGGATAAAATACTGTGGAATACAGAAAAAGCCATGAAAAGACAGACATAGTACCTGTTTATACATGACTGGTCAGACAATTTCTGGTGAAAAACTGGCTCTATATAGGTCTGTTATGGAAGCCCATCTCCGTCAAGAAGAAGAGAAAAAACATGATTGTTTTACAGTTCAGTTTCGCGCAGCAGTATGTTGAAAATGTTTTATCTCAAGAAATAATAAATCCTGACCTGAAATAAATACTCGCTCGAAATCTTAATGACTCGTTATTTTGACATAACATCAATAGAAAATTATTTTGACAGAAATCAATACTGTGACAAAATACACCATTATTTTGTCATGAGTGCAAAATCTTGACAGAAGTAAAAAATGTAAGAAAATAAGTCACTATTTTCAGGTCACAGATCAAAATTTTGAGAATATAAGTCATTAAAAGGATGAAAAGCCCAGCTTTCAACACTGTAAGTCACATTTTTTGACATACTGCTGCTGAAAAGTAGAGAAAAAACAGATGAAAATGGGCTTCTACAGGTCCAAAGCACGCATTCCCAAACTTTTTTCCTTCTACACATCCGACAGATGAGAGTTTGCCTCAGGTCTTAAATCAGGGGTTCGTCTACAGTGTGAGCGGATGAAAGACCTGTCACATCCTCTGCACTTAGACAGCATATACTCCAGCTGGGCCGCTGTAAAGATCCTCAGCCTTGTCATCTATTCACTATTCTCAGCTGGGGGCACAGGATGGCTGTCTAGAGAATCCATAAAGCAGGGATCAAAGCCAATGGGGAATAAGCAGGGTGTGCATGTGTGTGTGTATGTGTGTGTGTGTGTGTGTGTGTGTGTGTGTGTGTGTGTGTGTGTGTGTGTGTGTTTGACAGTGAGCTTGCAGAGATCAAAGTTCTGGCATGTCCATCAGCATGAAATCTGAGCAACAGCTCTAAATGGAAGACATCATCACAGGATGCATGTTTCAATACAGAAGTAAGCATATGTAACACAACTGCTTCAGCATGTACTAACAGCATGTGACAGGTG